CTCTTCTCCCTCCTGATTCTGCTGAGGACGACGGCTGTAGACCATGCAGTGTCAGCTCACAGTAACCGTCTAGGTTCTGGAGACGGACTGCCTGCGTTTGAATCCGTACTCTGCTGTTTTCCAGCTGTGTGACCCTGGGCCACTTATTTAACCTCTGTGCCTCCATTTTCTCCTCTGTAAAATAGGAATAATAATATGTGTGTGCCACAGAGCTGTGGATTAAATTAGCTAATGTATGTAAAGTGTTCAGAACAGTGCATGGCATGTAGTAAGCCCTATATAATTAACTGCTGTTACTACTGCTGTTTTATTATCAGGAAAAGAAAAAAACCGGGCTCAAAGTCAAAGAGTTGATTTAGCCCTAGCCGGCTTGGCTCAGCGGTTAGAGTGTCGGCCTGTGGTCCTGAGAGACCCGGGTTCGGTTCCCGCTAAGGGCGCGTACCTCGGTTGCAGTTTGTCCCCGGCCCTGGTCAGTTGTGCGGGTGGCAGCCACTCGATGTGTCCCTTTCACATCGATGTTTCTCTCTCTCTCTCCGTTCCTCTCTCTCCCTCCCACTCTATCTGAGCAAAGAATGGAAAAATGTCCTCGGGTGAGGATAAAAAAAAAAGTTGACTTAAAATTTTAGCTTTTCATTCTGTTAGTGACCTTGAGCATGTCACTTAATTTTGGAGTACTGATTACTTCTTCATCTGTAAAATTGGATAGAATAGCCCAGGTGGTGTGGCTCAGTGGTTGAGCGTCAACCCATGTACCAAGAGGTTGCCGGTTCGATTCCCAGTCAGGGCACATGCCCAGCTTGTGGGCACGATACCCAGTGAGGGGCATGCAGGAGGTGGCCAATCAATGTTCTCTCTCATCAATGTTTCTATCTCTCTCTCCCTCTCCCTTCCTCTCTCTCTAAAATCAATAAAGAAAAAAAATTTTGATAGACTAGCTCTCATTTCTAGAGAGGCTGTGCAGGACATGACTCGGAGCTGGACTACTTGGGATCAGATTCCAACGACACCACTTTCAAGCTGTGTGACTTTGGGCAAATTACTTAACCCCTGTGTGCCTCAATGTCATACGTGTAAAATAGGGATGATAAGCACACCTTATGTTCATAGGAATGTTATGGGAATGGAATGAACGAATGTGTGTAAATGTGTTAGAACAGTGCCTGGCTCTGGGGAAATGACCAATGACTGGATGGCACCTATAGGAAGTGCTTAGTAAGTTTCACAGTATTCTTTTCTCACAGGACTTTGAGGATTGACTACATAAATAGGCATGAAAGCGCTTTATATACAGTATTGGTCAAGTGTGAAGACATAGGAATCTGCTGTGTCGATGTCTTTGGCCATGTAATTAGGATTAATCAGGCTTAGCATGTCTAGGCCGCAGTAAACATTTTCTTTTGAAAGTCTGTCCAGGTCAGAGCAACCCGTTTCAATGCCTCCTTCAGGTGTGAATGGGCTCTGGCTGCTATTTTTGTAGCTTGTGAAGCAAAAGCGGACGGTTGGCCCTGCTTCCAGGATGACAGAGCACTTTGCACCTCGAGATAAACCAAAGATTGGAGTCATCCTGACTGGTTCTGACTTCCAAAATAGCAAAGCCTTGAGCATTTCCTGTCAACCGGACTCGCCAACCAAAACAATTTATCCCTGATTTTTGCAATGCTGATATCTACAGGAATATCAAACCTTTGTAAACTGATAATCATGTGGGAGTTACTGTCTTCCCACCATAGCAGACGAATGTAACTGATACAACCTTGGTAATTTGAGTTTTGTTGTTTTTTTTTTAATCCTCACCAAAGGATATTTTTGTATTTCATCTTCGGATAGAGTGGGAGGAGCGAGGGGGAGAGAGAGAGAGAAACATTGGAATGAGAGGGACACATTGACTGGTTGCCTCCCACATGACCCCGACCAGGGCCGGGGAAGAACTGCCACCAAGGTACTGTGCCCTTGACCGGAATCGAACCTGCGACTCTTTGATCCACAGGCCGACACTCTAACCACTAAACAAAACTGGCCAGGGTTTTTTGAGTTTTTTTTTAAAGTTGATTTTTAGAGAGAGGAAAGGAGAGAGACAGAGAAAAATCGATGTAAGAGTGAAACATCGATCAGCTGCCTCCCGCACGCCCCTTCCTGGGGATCCAGCCCAAAACCTGGGCACGTGCCCTGACTGGGAATTGAGTTGGCAACCCTTTCGTGCGGGAGACAATGCCCAAGCAACTGAGCCACATTGGCCAGGGCTAGTTTCTTAAAAAAAAACTTATGTGGGCCCTGGCTGGTTTGGCTCAGCAGTTAGAGCTTCAGCCCACAGATCAAAGGGTCTCAGGTTTGATTCCGGTCAAGGGCATGTACCTGGCTTATAGGTTTGATCCCCTGCTGGTCAAGGTTGTGTGGGAGGCAACCAATGGATGTGTCTTTGTCACATCAATGTTTATTTCTCTCTCTCCCTCCCTTCCACTCTATCTTTTAAAAAAATCAATGGAAAAATATCCTTGAGTGAGGATTAACAACAACAAACATTGTGTTTCTTGTTTTTTTTTAAGTTTGGTCTTTTCTCTGGTACTCTTTGTACGTAAACTTTCTATCCTTTTCTTTGTTTTTTGTTGTTTTTTTTATCCTCACCCGAGGACATTTTTCCATTCTTTGCTCAGATAGAGTGGGAGGGAGAGAGAGGAACGGAGAGAGAGAGAGAAACATCAATGTGAAAGGAACACATCGAGTGGCTGCCACCCGCACAACTGACCAGGGCCGGGGACAAACTGCAATTGAGATATGCGCCCTTAGCGGGAACCGAACCCGGGTCTCTCAGGACCGCAGGCCGACGCTCTAACCGCTGAGCCAAACCGGCCAGGGCTCTATCCTTTTCTAAATGTTTTTTTCTTGCCTATAGTTGACTGGACTAGGGGTTTCACCCCTGTCCCAACATGGGCCAAATTATCCTCCAGGAATTTGTATTTGTTTTCTTTTTCAGCTTCTTAAACCAGGAAGATATGAACTGGAGGGCTGTGGATAACCATCTTCACCAGATATGGGACAGAGGTGGAGAAAGTTCTCCTGCAGAGTGGAATAAAGCAGAATAAAGGTGGGGGGGGAATGCAGTAGAGATGTGGGGACAATCCTATCACCCAATACCTCAGCAGCCTCCATCCTGTCACACTGCTTTATTCACTTTATAACACTAACCTCTGTGTGCCCATTTGCTTGTGTCTCTGTTCCTACAAGAAAGAATGCTGTGAGGGCAGGACAACTGTCTTGCCCATCACTGACTCCCAGTGCCCAGCTCAATGCTTGGCATATAGTGGAAGTTTCATAAATACTGACTGGATATATGAATTCGATTTACTTGTTCATAATCAAATTAAAAATCTGAAACCTGGCCAGTGTGGTTCAATTGGTTGAAGTGTCATCCCATATACCAAAAAGTGGTGGGTTCAATTCCTGGTCAGGGCACATACCCAGGTTTTGGGTTCGATTCCCAGTTGGAGTGCATGCAGGAGGCAACGAGTCGATGTTTATCTCTCTCTCCCTTCCTTTCTCTAAGGTGGATGAAAAACATCCTCGGGTGAGGATTAAAAAAAAAAATCTGCAAATTTATGTCCCATTGTTTCACAAATCTTGTTATCTGCTTTGAATTATTACAATTCGAACAGAATTAGGAATAGCAACTAAATAACAATCATATGTGATTAATTTTGAAGCCTGAAACTAAAAATGATAAGAGCCTGCATTCCATGAAATGGGTTGTAGTGCAGCATCCCATCAAGCAGGCCGGGCCTCACAGGTCGTTTGTGGAGGGTCTGGGATGACCTCTCCCAGCCACAACTGGGGTTATAATGAAGAGTCAGCAAAAACACGCAGCAAATTCGGATATCTGAGGACTTGATGATGGAATTTAGAAGTAGAATATAAAATAGGTAAGAAGCTTAACAAAAAGATATTAAAGCAAGCATAAGATGCTAAAAAAAAAAAAAAGAAAAAAAAAGAAAGATCCTGGCAGGGTTGGAAAAAATAACAAATAGTCCATTTAAAATAAAAATGCTATTCTTAATAGTAAAAGCTCAATAAATCCAGTGAAGAAATATTTCTGATTTACAGTGGGGAAAATATTTAAGTAAATACCTGGAATACTTCACTGAGAGAGAAATCCACTCCTCTCAGTTCTTTCCCCCAAATTCCAGAGGGGCTAAGCATCATAGAGAATAGAGGTGTCACGTACATACTCAGAACTCAGGAGAAGAGGCAGGAGAACCTAGGAGAGTAATTCCTACATAATAATCGACCATTTTACAAAATTGAATAAAAGAAATAAATTTCAAATGTGAAGAGCAGAACAAATTTTAAGCAGACTGAAAAACCAGAAACCTACATCCAGGCACACTGTAGTGAAACCACATGGCGTAAAGAACCACATGGCACCAGAGACCTAGAGTTTTCAATGACTACCCTGCTCCAAAGCCCTCACGGGCTTCATGTTGCCTGGTTAAACTTAGGGTATTCCCCAAATTTCCATCTAAAGCACATAGTGTGTTTTCAAGAAAACAAGAATGAAATGTGACGAATGAGTAGAAATGTCTGGTCTCAATCGCAGGGCGATGTGTCTGGCAAGGGTCAACTACTCTTGAAATTTGATTTCAAAGGGGGCATTGAATGATGGAGCTTTAACAGTGCTGACCCAACACTGTCCAGGAAGAAACACAAACGTTCGGAGCGACTAGCGAGGGGTGCAGCGTGACGGGGCAGGGGTGATCTGTGCCGGCCGCTTCCCCTGACCCGCCCTCCCCTCCTCCCGCTGGGCACGGGCCCAATGTCCAGTCGCTGCTCAGGCTTCTAGCCTTTCTGGCTCCATCCCAAAGACGTTTCTTTCACACACATGTGAAAACACAAATTCTACAAAGCGGCTGTGCGCCCCTTGAATCCTGACACCGAACCTCTGAGAGCGGCTTCCTCGGGACAGCCACTCAGAATGTAGGAAGAACACGGCACTAAATATTCCAGAAATTTTTATTTTCCTCACCCACACCTTTCCCAGCATTTTGCTAACCAATGATAAGTGACCATCAGAAATGATTTGGTCATATGCTGCTTTCAAAAAGCACTAAGAAAGTAGCTATTTATAAAAAGGAGGTACATCAGGTTAGAAACATTATAAAAAGGGAGACTCCCAACATATGTAAATACATGATCAGAGATTAGACTAACAAACATTCAAACAGGCTCTATTCAAACACGGGCTCTCCGTTTCCTTTAGAAGGATCTGTTTTCTCAGACTCCTCCACAAATACTTCACAAGGAACAAGAAGCCCATTTCTTTATAAGCTCAGGTATAACAGCATAGCTATGTTATGGTGAGAAGCTGGGATGTGGTTTGACCTCTGAGACCCATTATCTCTGAGTTGGTGGTTCAAGCCAGGGTGGACGGGCCTGGGGGGGAGCAAGGCAAACCACGAGAGGGAGGGAACGCAAGGTGCCTGTTACCACTTCACCCACACAAGCTCCAAAGGGAGCCTCCTGCCCACCCCCCACTTCACACGGTTGAAAAGTTTAATGAGGAAGGAGCCTGTTTGTTCATAAAATAATATAGTCCTTTCACTTTGTTTTGTTTTTTAAAGTGTAGCTCTTCAAGAATTTCATTTTTTTAAAAATGACCTGTAAAGAAAGAAGAAGAAAAAATAAATGCACGTAATTCAAACACTGACTTTTAACATTCCCATGATAAGAGAATGACCAAAACATCAGGTCAGGTGGATGAACTCCAGAAGATCCTTGCAATGGGGAAAGGTGTCCTATCAGTAGGGGGCTGTCCATACATTTTCAGGGACAGCAAAAAGGATTCCTGCTTTTCCTCAGGTCCTTCCTCTCATCTATGAGCTCACTGATGCCTAAACTAAATTCTGTAAGTACCCTCTGTCCTCAGTGTGTGTCTTCTGCTGCAAAGGTATTGGGCCTACCTCACTATTACTCTAGGGGCACTTAGGTCTTACCAGATATTTTCCTCCCCATGTAAGGGAAGAGAGAACACTTGTCCTGAGAGTAGCTTTAATGAGGGAGCAAAGGGCACTGAGCACCAGAAGATTAGCTCTCATACAAACAGTTCAGAATAAATACCTAATAGTGACACTCATCTGACACAAATGACACCCATATGCCAGATGCCTGTCGTGTATGTATAAATGTTATCTTACCATCTTCTGTGAGAAATACCTGCACACCTACCCCTTCCCCCCAAATAACCTTTAACAAACCTTTCATAGCAGGTGAATTCACTCTTCTGCTTGCTTTCTTCTAACTCAGGTTTCTGATCTTTGTCGTGTACTTCTCTGGGTTGGCGGCGCTCATTACTGTAGTATAAATCGTGTAGCTGAAAATAATGAGGTAAATTTTTATATGCACATCATCATTTTCCCTAATATTCCAAAGAAGGAAAAAAATACCAACACTTAGGACCTAGAACAAGAATACTGATAGAGGCCCACAAAAGTTAGAATATTTAAAATTTATAATTCAAGTGACCCCACACTCAAGGTGCTCTTTCCTCCTATTTTGATGACACCGTTAAAGGCCAAGTTCAAATTTAAAATTGTCAGACTCCTCAGAGTTCCATGCTGCGGCAGTGAGGAAGGGCCAGCCTTGCTCCTCTCCCCTGGCTCTGCCCTATCCCACAGGTGGCATGTATGTGGACATCTCAGCCTTTGCATCTAGGCTTCATGCATGACCCCAGCAAACATCCCCTGGCCACCCACCAGGCACAGGATGTCCACAACGGCTGCACACCATCTCAGGGGACCATCGCCTACAGAAGTGGATCACAAGGGCCCTGGAAATGGGCTTAGTGCTATTCAGGCTAAGGATTCTGGGTGCTTGAGCCAGACTGTGCAGGCAAATGCACCTAGCCCAGTGGAATCTTTATATCAGGGAGGGTCAGAGGAAGGCCAGAGCAGAGTTTCTAAAGCTCAGATCAAGACGGGGGCCCACTTGTCCAAACCTAAGGATGAAAAGTACAATGTCATTTACTCAACACACTGCATAGCAGGAGATGTGAACATGAGCCCAGGTGCACACATGCACATACACACAAGGGCCCCTTCCCTTCACCTACCACTTGTGCTGGACACCAGCTGGGATGCATGTTCAAAGCATCTGGAGCTAGGTTGCTCAGGAATAGGCAGAATTAGTGGCCCTGGGGCTTTGCAGCTGAATTGTACACCCAGATAAAGAAAGCACTATGAACATGTTCCCTGAATAAGAACCTTGGCTGCTTATTTACCTTAGTCACAATTCTATTCTCCATCATGGTTTTAAATTTTTCTCTGCTTTTAGCCAGAGAATGGAGTAGAGGATGGAGTTCTACTGCAGGTGAGTGTAATTTTGTAGCGCAGCACAAGGGGGCAGCATAGAGCTAACTTCTGTTCAGACATTTCTATTAACCTCACACACGTAAAGGGCCTGACAGTAAAGAATCTGTGTTAATTCTGGCTCAGTGGTGATTATCCTTTAAATGCAGTTCATCCTGGGCTTTCGATTATACAACAAAGAAAAATGTCACTCCCTGACTGTTTATAGTTTCTAACAATTCTATTTTGACAAAACATTTCAGTTGCCATTTCAACATTCACAGCCTTTAACTCAGTAACCCCCCTCTGGGAATTCAGGCCAGGAAAATATCCAGAAGTGGGAGTGGGGAGAGGAAACATGCACAAATATGTTTCTTTCAGAGCTTTAATAGAGGAAAAACTAACCACCGGAGAATGCTTAACTGAGTTATACTACATTCTACTGGCTATGCAGCTATTTAAAATTACAAGGGTTATTCACAGCATGGACATGCTTTATTAAAATAAATATAAGTATTTTATTATAATACAAATTATAGATATATTCATAATTTATATAATTATTTTCAAAACTATAAGAACACACAAACAGGCTTTTAACCTTTATCTTTCCAATGAATATTTGAAATAGATTCATTTGAAATATTAAAAGGGCAAAACTGTGCTCTACCGGAACGGGCACGGTCCATGTAGTATTGGGAGCTGGCCCCTACAGGCTGGTGAGAGCCAACTGTTAAAGGCGCAGGACGTTTATGAGCCAACTGTAAGCTTGAAACAGGCTAGGTAGGAGTATTTATACCATGGTAGCTAATAAATCCTACAAATCGGTGGTGGTGGGGGGGTCTTTTGTTTTTTGCTCCCCACCAAACAGCTAGTTTACTAGCATACCATTGGGTACCACTTGTTACCCAAGTAGCTCATTTGGTAGAGTAGTAAAACACTGACTGACCAGGTTATTTGGTTTTTCCGTATTTGGCCGTTAGAATATTGTTTATGGAATAAACATTTTAGCATTAATCTTTTCATTAGGCCATACTTTAAAAAAACTTTCAAAGAGGTATTTTGAAGATATATTCCTATACTACAAAGTGAAAATAATAACACTGGTTTTGACAATGTCATCATGCAGCCCAGCCGAAGTGGCTCACTGTTTGAGTGTAGACCCACGCACCAAGAGGTTGATGGTTTGATTCCTGGTCAGGGCACATGTCCAGCTGTGGGCTAAATCCCCAGTGTGGGGCATGCAGGAGGCAGATAATTGATGTTCTCTCTCATCGATGATTCTCTCTCTCTCCCTCTCCCTTACTTTCTCTCTAAAATCAATAAAGAAAAAAATTTTTTTAAAAGTGTCATCATTCTAGAGGCCATCAGGAAAACTCCTATTTTGTATTTGTGTAAAAGAAGATTGTTTCAAAGAAATCAACTGGGTATTTGAAACTAAAAACCATTTACAGGTTTTATCTGCATTAGGCTATTTCTTGAAGAATACTATTTTGATATTCCTGTCTCGGAGAAAGCAGAAGTGAGAATGATGAGTAGGTAGAAAACGCTGGGTTTGGGAATTTATTGAAAAGAAACTAAAACTCTGCATTGACTTACAGATGCTTCCTCTTTTATTAGTAAGTTAAGTCCTAACACAGAAGCAAAAGGTGTCAGCACACCTATGAGCTGGTTCTCGGGGTGGATCAGGCAGTCAGGCAACACCTGAGTGGGACAATGACCAGGAGGCTGCTGGCCTTCACAGCGTTGCTGAGATGGTGACAGGGGACCTTCAGAGCTTCCTGTACATGTTTGGTGGTGGCTGCCTCTCAAATTTAACTAAGAGCTTCCTATGGCAGTGGAAGCGATGGCCCAGTGGTTCACTTCAGAAAAGCATGTGGGTAAAACCCCAGGCTGCAGACTGTCGAGGGCACGGAACTTAGATGCTGAATTATCTGCGGAATGAGCATGGGGTAGCAGAACCTCCCCAGGAAGACCAAGGAAAGCCAAAGCTGTCTCAAGTTTCGTTCTACCATGAATTAAGGAGCTCCCAACCAGTGAAGGCAGGTCCCAGCTACCAGACAGACTTGGGATGAAACCGTCCCTTTGTTTTGTACCTTTGTTTTTCTTTTGTGGACTTCCCGCCTGACTCACGATATACTTGTTTATCTGCCCCTCCTGGGCCAGTGGAATGCTAGTCCCGTGAGAGCAGAGGCTGTTTTGTTCACTGCTGTTCCTACAGCACCTGGAAAGCCTGCTCCACAGGTGCCCTCAGATCCCTGCTAAACCAAAGAGCCCGTGAGTCCGCCTTGTGGGATGACGTATGAACAGATGTTACTTACTTGTTATAAACTGGAAACACGGACAAAACCTGCATAGGAAAATATCATATTTTAAAAACTGTTAAAATGGAGAAGAAATAAATGTAGAATATCTATAGGAAGAATAAAACCACTTAACACTTCAGTGTATCTCAGAGTGACAGTGTTACAGACTTCTGAATCCTTTCTCCTTTGAAACAATGAACACACATATATTACGTCTGTGCCTTTTTCTAACGTGCAGAAAAACTTAGGTGAAGACAAATACTTTTAACCTGTTCAGAAAATGCCATCTTACTTTTTTTCTCATGTTTTCAACCTGGTAAAACTCGTACTCTAGCACTTCTACCACATTTGCTTGCTTTCAGAGGAGAGTATTTTCTTAAATCACTATTAACAAAGACACCAGACATTCTGAGCGAAAACGGGGCATCCCAGTGCAGGTTACCTGGAAGAGCACCTCCAGGCTGAGGTTTGCCTGGCCCGTGGCGTTAAGGGCCTTGATGGCAGGTGTTCTGTAAGGAAAAAGGTCACAAGTCACTTAGCACTTCAGAAAGCCCTGAATCCCACCAGTTCTCATTCTGGGAGACTTAATGCGAGGCCTGGGCTCATTATCTCCCTTTCCTCAAAACAGATGCTGGCCCCCAACCATGTTTCCTCCCTAGTACCCGACCCCCACAGTGGAATTAATTCAACAGTCGGGTCCACTGGCCCCATCGGCTCCCTGGGCGGGTGAAAATGTGTTGCTGAAGAATTGAATAGTGGCCACCAAACCCAGGGGGCAGTAAAGCCAAGGGGAAAATCTGCTGTCTGGGGATGCACTGACTTATAATTATAGAAGTTTCAAAATTAGAAGGGACAATAAAAGCCCCCAACAGGTTTATTTATTTAAGTATAAAAAATGTTTGCCTTCCAAAAAAAGTCTTCCATAGAAAACCATGAATCTTGCTCTATCTTTTCCTTTTAGAGATGGGTGAACCCAAGAGGACTGAAACAGTCCCCTTCTCCCCTGGCAACGAGCATCCCCTTTAATAAAACATGGAAGGTTGTATGGAATCTAAGGCTTCTGGGGCTTCTGACCCTGAGGCCAGGGACAACCTTACTCTCCCAACACCCAACCAAGTGCCAAGAGGCTCCCCCCATGTTCCCCACCACACACTACTCTCCCACTGCAGCCTGGCACTGGCAAAGGGGCCCAGGCATATTTTCTGAGAGGGGTAGCACCTGTAGTCCCCTTCAGTTCCTGTACTAGGAGGGCACAGTCTCCTGGCCACAAGAAAACACTGTGGACGCGACAGCGGCCTACCTTCGGTCATCTTTCTCGGGTGCTGGCTTCCAGTGGTCATAATTTGTCTCTACTCGAAACCACCTACAACACAGCACATCATCTTATCTTACCAAGGTCATTGGAGACATAAGTACAGAAGAAATATATAAAACTAGAAAATATGTCCAGTTCCATCCATTAAAAACCGGTTATTAATACAAAATGACCAGAGCCTTTAATTCTACTTACGCCCCATTTAAAGGATCTAGAGGCCAAATGTCTGCTGGGCCACTTCTGTTCCTCGTGATGACCACTCCTTCCCGGGGGGACGTGCCACCAACAATGTAATACACGTCAGCAATGAGGGGAGTCTTGGCCAGTTTGTACACAGCTGCTTCAAAGTTTTCTGATTCGCTCAGGGTCTGAACAGAGACAAGCCTGCATGAGCAACATCATTCATACCCATCGATGGACAGGTGGTCCATAGCACATCCTCCTGACATGTTAACCCATGACCACCGTCTTGAACTGCTCTGACTCCACCCTCCTGTCATCAGGACTCCTGAAATGGAAGAAACCTCAGTGGGGAGCCAGAGGCAGCAGGATTTTTCTCACAAAGGGAAGAACTGCTGACAAGTTCTAGGCCCAACTCAGGACACGGGGCTGTGTGCCTTCCAGGCAGATCGCCCTCACAGACGACTCCCCATGTTTCATTCATCTGTTCTTTCAACAGGCGTTTCTTGAATACCTACTATGTGCTAGACACCGCACTGGTGTGGAGACAGAGCAGTGACGACGACTGACCCAGCCTTGTTCTCCCCAAACTTCTAAGGATGACAGGAAAGTCCACAGAAAATGGTGACACAGCGTAATGAGTGTCAACAAGGAAATGCTGCTATGAAGTCGGAGCAAGGGACCCATCCTCACCCAGGGCACCGAGGCGGCACCTCAGGGAAGTATCACGTGAGCTGAGGCCAAAGAGACAAACGGAAGTTAGGCTGGTGAAAGAGGCGTGGGGCTGGGGAAGAGTTCTAGCTCGATGGTAGTTTGGCAAAGGCTCAGAGCTGAGAGAGAGCATGCTCCATCAGCGCAGTGAGCCCGGCTGGTGTTCAGTCCCCTGGGGTTCACGAAGACCCCGAAGATCTGAGGCAGGGCTCGTTAGGGCACAGCTCTCCCAGCCTTCAGCTTCCAAGTGCGATCCCTCAAGCTGACCAGCACAAGAATACCCTGCAGGGGAGGGTGCCCTGCCCACCTCCACCTTCACAGTCACTTTGCACCACTGCGTGAGAACAGGACTGTTCTGCTCGCCCATTCTGAGCGCTGCCGAGGCACGGTGTCAAGGGTGGGGTGAGGACAGGGTCAAGCCAAAGAGCAGCTCAGAATATGAGTGTCTGCAAAGGCACAACATTCAACACCATAACCTTCAACCCAGGCCAGGGCCATGGACTTGTCCCTGCCTGATACATATTGCTGTTAGGAATGAGGTATTTAGACTTGAGTCACTTTGTTCTGAACTCAGCAAAATTATAAAGTGAGGCAATAGGAGTGATGAAACATTTTCTTTTTTTCATTCATTGCCTGTACCATCCCCCAATTACTATAAAATAATTCATTGCCTCTAACAGAACTGTATGAGAAAAAAAGCAAGAACATCAATAAGAACTACTGAAGGCTGTGCTGACCTATTTCACCTAGAGGCCAAGTCAGGGCGAGAGCACGGCCTCATCTGTTTACCTCGGGAAAGGGAGGAAATGGAAAGTGGCTGCTAATGGGGTCGGGGTTTCTTCTGAGGGGAGTAAAAATGTTCTAAAATTGGCTGTACTGATGGTTGTACCACTCTGTGAATATACTGAAGGCCAGTGAGCGATATACTTTATTTTATTTCTTTTTTAAAATATTTTTTCTTTATTGTTTTTTAGAGAGAGAGGAAGGGAGAAAGAGAAGGAGATAGAAACATCCATGAGAGAGAACATCGATTGGCCGCCTCCTGCATGCCCCCCACTGGGGATCGGGCCCACAACCTGGGCATGCGACCTGACCAGGAATTGTACCCGCAACCTCTTGGTGCATGGGTCAACGTTCAACCAATGAGCCACACGGGCTGGGCAAGTTATATACTTTAAATAGATGAATTATATGGCATTTATTTATATACCTCAATTAAAGATACATCTACCTTTTGATCCATCAATTCCATTCTTAAGTATTGACCCAACTGAAATAGATATATATGTTTACAAAAAGACTTATACAAGAATTTCTATAGCAAGTTACTCATAATAGCCCCTGAAACAACCCAATGTCTATCAACAAGAAAATGGATAAATTGTGACTTATTCAGAGAACTGAATATTCTTCAATAATAAAAGGAATGAGCTGGATCTGAAAAACATTATGCTGAGTGAAAGAAATCGAGTCAATATACTGTGGTTTCATTCATATGAATTGTAGAACAGACGAAACTTCTCTGCAGTGATAGAAGTCAAAGAGTGGTTTCCTGGGGTAGGCGGGTCAGAGGAGGTGGGAACTGATTAGAGTGTGTGCAATTACCAAAACTCTTAATATCTATGCATTTCACTCTATGTAAGTCACATAAAAGTTTTAAAATCATTTTGGTGTTTAGATTCCACTGGATACATTTAAATTATAGTTTTATTTTTAAATATCAACATTTACAATACACAGGATTTTTTGCAGCTTTTCAATCTTCGGATAAACTATTTTGGAAGTCATTTTAAGAATGTGTAGCCCTGGCTGGTTTGGTTCAGTGGTTAGAGCATTGATCTGCGGACCAGAGAGACCCAGGTTCGGTTCCCACTGGGGACACATACCTCAGTTGCAGTTTGTCCCCGGCCCCGGTTGGGGTTGTATGGGTGGCAGCCAGTCGATGCATCTCTCTCACACTGATGTTTCTCTCTCTGTCTCCTTCTCTCCCTCCTACTCTATCTGAAGATAAATGCAAAAATGTCCTCGGGTGAGGATAAAACAAACAAACAAAAAGAATGTGTAAAGGATGCAGTTTGTCAACATCCTTAGGGGTACCCAAGTAACACATTTAGGAGAACTGCAAGTCCAGAGGGACTAGATCATTTAGAGCAACACAAAGAAGGATCTAACAGGCTAAGCCAGGCAGGGCCAGCTCCTTCAGATGTGCTCCTGAAGACAAGCTCTCCCAGGTCAAATGACAATGTATATGTGGCCTGGAACTCTGCTGTCTGATAGGTCCTGTAAAGCAGATGTTCATTTTGTGTAAAGCTACCTCCTGATGCACTTGTTTTGCTAATTCAAATATTTGATAATGGAGATTCGAAAGGGAGGCACTTCTATATCAGTAGAAAAGCATATTATCTCATCTCAATCAGCTATTGTGAAAAGTCTAGCCTCTGACCAAGATTCTGTCCTTGACCAAACTCTAGCCAGCCTCCTCTGAGCCCTCCTCTTGACTAAGCCTTAACCTTGGCCTATAAAGACTGGAACAAACACTAACATAGTTTCTAACAGCTCAAGGCCACACCCCTATGATAACCCTACACCCCCCCCACCCCCCCCACCCCCGTAGTGACTGCCTGAGACAACTCAAGGCTGCTTGCTGTAAGGGAACAGAATCTGTCACCCCAAAATATGTCTCTTTGGCATTATTTTAAGTTGGTTATTTTATTTATTTGTTTAAAAAATTTTTTTAAAGGTTTTTTAAATTGACTTTTTAAAGAGCAGGAAAAACATTGGCTGCCTCCTGTATGCCCCCTACAGGGGATTGAGCCCACAATCTAGGCCGGGAATTGAACCAGCAACTGTTTGGTGCACAGAATGGCAGCCAAGTAACTGAGCCACACCAGCCAGGGCAATTTGAAGCTGGTTATTTATTTATTTATTTATTTTATTCTCACCCAAAGGTATTTTTCTTTAATCCTCACCAGAGGACATTTTTGCATTTATCTTCAGGTAGAGTGGGAGGGAGAGAGGGAGGAAGAGAGAGAAACATCGACATGAGACACATCGACTGGTTGCCTCCTGCATGACCCAACCAGGGCTGGGGATGAACTGTAATCGAGGTCTGTGCCCTTGACCAGAATCGAACCCAGAAATCATTGGTCCGCAGGACAACACTCTAACCGCTGAGCAAACCAGCCAAGGCTAAGCTGGTTATTTTTAAGAAACAGCAGACATGGCAGAAGCTCTGAAAACCAGGTAGAATTTACCCTTTATGAAAGACATTTCCATTCATCAGGGAAATCTCCATTTGTGGGGGTGTCTCCCTCACTGTACCAGGAGGTGGGCATCTGAATCTCTAGAAACCGTTATCAGTGGAGAAGACTTGGACTTAAATCTGCATAAAAACCTTACTCTTTAAACATTTTTTTCAATTACAGTTTACATTCAATATTATTTTGTATTAGTTTCAGGGGTACAGCCAGTGGTTAGACAATCACATACTTTACAAAGTGTTCCTGATATTTCCAGCACCCACCTGGCACCATACACAGTTATTACAATATTATTGACTATATTTCCTGTGCTGTACTTGACATCCCATGACTCTTTTGGAATTACCAATCTGTTAAAATCTTACTCCGGTTTGCTGTGCCTTTTCCTGGTTACCTCCCATAACTGACTCCCCACCCCACCATCTCCTCTGGTCGTTAGTCGAATGCGGTATTTAAGGTGATGGCTTCCACCATTTTGAATCACTCAGTCTTCCTGATGTCTTCCATGTATACAGGAGGTAGAGAAGTTATCAAACTGTCATTTATTTTCTCCTGTTAATCTGTCTCGTGTCAATTTGATTATTAGACCAGGCAGAAGAACCTAGAAGGCCAGAAGACCATTTTTCCTCCCCAGACACTGCCAAAATAATTTACTGTTTGTTCCACCCAACACCTCAAGATAGGGGCCCTGTCTCCCAGTCCCTGCTAGAGGGAAGGAGCCAACAGCAAACTCAGACAGATTTACGCAAACAGCCCATTTTCAGCTCTTTGTAATTTGTCACTTCTCTGACTCTCCCAGGCTCCTCCTCACCGCTTCCCTATTTCCCCATTCTCCCTTCGAAACACCCAGGCCCCTCAGCACAAATCGAAGTTGAGCTCGGGTCACGCCGGACACTCCCTCCTGTTGCAGTATTACACTACTGATGCAGGTCTGTCCTTAGCACTTTGGTGTTCAGCTTATCTTTGATTCTTATCATCAAAAAGGTTGATATGCACTTTGCAAACCTTTAGATGCTTATTCTTTTCATGAGCTTCTTACATTAAGAACAATATTGTTAGATGACACAGGTCACAGCAGGAACACAGTTTAGAAGAGGAAGGAAGTTAGGGTGAGGTGGGCTCAGCGGTCAATATACTCACAGTGCGGATAAGCCAGCTGATCGGAGAGTGTCTCTGAAAAAAGGCAGCGATCACATTCTCCCACCACCAGCCTTTATCTGCCGATTTGAAGGAACAGTAAATATATGCACACATTGCTGCCACTCTTTACAATTCCTTAAGTCTTGTTTCTTTCCCACAGTACACGCTGCTGGGGGAGAAAGGCTGGTGGAGGAAGTGATTTTACTAGCATCCAGTTTTTGAAGATGAAGCTAAAAGCTTTGTTTTCAGGCACCAAAGATTCTGTGTTCTGTGCATATGTGAGTGGGGTGTGTGTGTGTGTGTGTGTGTGTGTACACAGAATTTCCAGTGTATAACAATGATAATTACCTTAAAGGAAATCACTCTATTAACTATCTCAGGCAAAATAAAATGATGGAGCTATCAGAAGTGGCTCAGTAAGTATTAGGAAAATTGTAGAGAATATATATCTTTCAGAGCTTTAAGTTCGACTTGGGCTCACATTTTTTAAAAACACAAATTTAAAATCACTTCCCCAAATTACTTTTTAACATCTTGAAAAATCTCTGTAGGGGATTTATTTTCAAAGAATAATTTTCATTCAAGAAATAAGCACTGAGCACCTAGCATGTAGCTGTTCAGATAGAGCCAACTCCTTGAAAAGCTGACTCATCTAAAACCAACCCTCCAGAACCCTTGACCTCCTCTCCTTTCCCTGGGTGGACTCTGGAATGTGTACAGAGGCTCCAGGTTAATCAAGAACTGCCATTAACCTTCCTCCACCAGCCAGCCCTTCTCTGGGAGAAGGTGCCCTCAATGTTATCTATCTTTTAACTCGCCTTGGCATCAAAGTGCCTGGTATCCGGTCCCTTTGTTCCCCTCAATCACCCCCACATTCCTTTTGGAGATATAGGTCCATTTCTTAGGGGGTATAAAAAAAGGTGATTTGTGGGGTGATCCATTTTTTCCTGCTGACTCCCAGGATTGCGTTTCTGTTTAAGTTCCCTATTAAAACTCTTTAAACCTGACAAGCAGGACTTATCTGCTTCTTTCTATGGCCTCTCAGATCTTTTGGCACTTGGGGGTCACTTTGCTTTGGCCTTTTCATAAAACATTGGCATATCCTGACTTGGTCCAGACCCTTGGACTTTAACAGTGAACAGAAGAAACTAGTGTACAGAGGAAAGAGGGAAGAAATAAAATGGAGTCACTAGAGTCAAGCTGCTAAGTTACTAAAACCAAGTAGGCTGAGGCATGAGAAAATGATTATATTCCTGCTTTAATTAGCCAGGGAACTTAAACTTTTTAACTTTCTAGTAGTGTATCAATGCCTGGATGGATGGATGGATGGATGGATGGATGGACGGATAGACAGACAGACATAGCTATATCCTATAGATAACTCCGTGAAGAACTTGGAGAGAATGTTCTCATGTCTGCACAACCTGACAGCCATTGTCCAGTGGTGTCTGGAAGATCAAGATCTCTGACCAATCCAGAGATTAAGAATGCAGGACTCATTCTTCTGAAGAATGTACTTTTTACTACAAAAACTCTTCGCTTTTCTTTCTTCTTCTTCTTCTTTTTTTTATCCTCACCTGAAGACATTTTTGCATTTATCTTCAGATAGAGTGGGATGGAGAGAGGGAGGGAGAGAGAGAGAGACACATTGAGTGGTTGCCACCCACACGACCCACATGATCCCAACCAGGACTGGGGACAAACTGCAACCGAGGTACGTGCCCTTAGCGGGAACCAAACCCGGGACTCTCTGGTCCGCGGGCCGACACTCTAACTGCTGAGCCAAACCAGCCAGGGCTTTTCTTTCTTCTTCAGAAGACCCTGTGTATTGCCTAGTTGTCTCTGGTTTGCAAAACCTAAGACCCTTGAATAAATTTGTGTCCTCTATTTCTAGCAAAGCCTACTGACACTTGGTGCTCAGCTGACCATACCATTAAACAAACAAGAGTTGGATAACTAATAGGAAAAATAAGACAGGATAATGTAATCATGAGATTCCTTTCAACGAGAACATAAGGACAGCCTCTCTGGGTTGCAGACATTTGAGTGAAGATGGGCTGAGCATTCAAAGCAGAAGGCATGGGTATCAAGGACCTAAGGCAGGAACAAGCTTGGCAGATGTCAGGAAAAGAAAGAATGCTGGTGAGGTGCAGGTGGAGTGAGGGAGAAGAAGACAGGCATAAAATGAGGCATAGGAAGTGATCAAGTCGAGTTTTGAGGTCAGAGTCAGGACACTGGATTTGTCATAAGTGAAATGGGAAGTCACTATAGGTTTTAAACAGAGGAACAACCTGATTATGCCAGCTGCTAGATAAAGAAAAAACTATAGCCCTGGCCGGTTTGGCTCAGCAGTTAGAGCATCGGCCTGCAGACCAGAGTCCCAGGTTCGGTTCCCACTAAGGGCACGAACCTTGGTAGCAGTTTGTCCCCAGCCCTGGTTGGGGTCGTGTGGGTGGCAACCAGTCGATGTGTCTCTCACGCATCGATGTTTCTCTCTCTTCTCCCTCACTCCCTCCTACTCTATCTGAAGATAAATGCAAAAATGTCCTCAGGTGAGGATAAAAAGGAAAAGAAAAGAAAGAATTATAGAAGGTGAGAAGCAGGGAGACCAGATGAACAGGGACTGCAGCAGTACAGGTGTGGTAGCAGCTAGTCCAGCAGTGAAGGCAGAAAGGATGGACAGGGACAGTCTCATTTTGGTGGTAGAGCTGACACGACTCAGGGAGTGAGGGGTCAGAGAATTCTCCTGATACAGTCAGTTGATTGGAAGTGCCATTTCCTAAGCCATGGAAAACCAAGAGAGGAACAGATTTCAGTGAGGGCAAGAAAAGAAGGAGAGAAAAAGTCAAGAGCTCTGTTGAAGCACGTTACGTTTGAGACGCTTAGCGGACATCAAGGTGGAGATACTGAGATGGTGGTTGGGTACTGTGGCCTGGGTCTCAGCGGGGTCAGGCCTGGAGGTGTGACAGTGACAAAAGTCTTCTATGGCCCTTACTCTGTGCCAGGCACTGCTCTGAGTATGTCACATACATGAACTCCTTTCATCCTCACAACAGTGATGATCATCCCTGCTTTCCAGATGAGGACACTGAAGCACAGACTGGCCGAGCTCCTTGGTCACGGTCACCCAGCTGGCAAGATACAGACCAAGGCAGGCTGGCTCTGGAGTCTGAGATCTTAACTGCCAGGTGGTTAGTGAAGGCTCCTCATACTCTGTGCGCTTAGTCAGTCCTCTTCATCTCCCCATCCTTTCCCAGGGTGGTTGGAGGCGCTGTTGGCACGCTTCATAATGCCCAGAAATTTAATGGAATATCTTCTCTCCATTAACCAAGAGGTGTTACCTTATTGTTCAGGCATTCCTACTCAGTCTTAGGAGATTAAAATACAGTTTTCAGTCAAATAAGTTTTTAAATTTTTTTAAAGTTTTTAAAAAGAAACTCGACAGTATTTAATTAAATGTGTTACAGTATAACTGTTATTTTTATTTTATTTATTTATTATTACTATTTTTTTATCCTCACCCGAGGACATTTTTCTATTTTTTGTTCAGATAGAGTAGGAGGGAGAGAGAGGAAGAGAGCGAGAGAGAGAAACGTTGATGTGAAAGGGACACATCGAGTGGCTGCCCCCCACAAGACCCAACCAGGGCCGGGACAAACTGCAACTGAGGTACGTCCCCCCCGGGGAACCGAACCCGGGTCTCCCTGAACCACAGGCCAACGCTCTAACCACTGAGCAAAACCAGCCAGGGCATAACTGCTATTTTTAAACCGCTCATACCTTAGGTTCTAATATGCAGTTTGTTAAACAATTTGAGTTGCAAAATGATGTAGACAAAGCCCATCTTTTAAATAAATATACATGTGTTTATAGACGTTCTGTGTAAAATCTTAACTGTCATGCTGTGGTTGGAGTACCATCTGAGAACCAGTCTCACTCATAGCTGACATTTGAGAAAATGTTGAAGAAATACATTAGGATAAAGAACTGACTACTGGCCCTGGCCAGTTTGGCTCAGCGGTTAGAGCGTCGGCCTGCGGTCCGGAGAGACCCGGGTTCGGTTCCCGCTAAGGGCACGTACTTCGGTTGCAGTTTGTCCCCGGCCCTGGTTGGTCGTGCGGGTGGCAGCCACTCGATGTGTCCCTTCACGTCGATGTTTCTCTCTCTCTCTCTCCCTTCCTCTCTCTCCCTCCCACTCTATCTGTACAAAAAATGGAAAAATATCCTCGGGTGAGGATAAAAAAAAAGAACTGACTACTGCCCTGGCCGGTTTGGCTCAGCGGTTAGAGCGTCGGCCTGCGGTCCAGAGAGACCCGGGTTCGGTTCCCGCTAAGGGCACGTACCTCGGTTGCAGTTTGTCCCCGGCCCTGTTCGGTCGTGCGGGTGGCAGCCACTCGATGTGTTCCTTTCACGTCGATGTTTCTCTCTCTCTGTTCCTCTCTCTCCCTCCCACTCTACCTGAGCAAAAAATGGAAAAATGTCCTCGGGTGAGGATAAAAAAAAAAAAAAAAAAAGAACTGACTACTATAGCCCTGGCTGGTGTGGCTCAGTTGGTTGGAGCATTGTCCCGTAAATGGAAAGGTCACAGGTTCAGTTCCTGGTCAGGGCACATAACCCAGGTTACAGGTCCCATCCCTGGTCGGGGTACGTACGGGACGCAACCAATCAATGTTTCTCTCTCTCTTTCTCCCTCCCCTTCTCTCTCTCTCTCTCTCTCTCTCTCTCTCTCTCTCTCAAATCAATAAGAACACATCCCTGGGTGAGGATTAAAAGGAAAAAAAAAAGAACTGACTACTATAGACATTGATATACACTCAACCAGCATCTTCCTGGTAAAGCATTATTTATGTAAAAAATAAATAAATAAATAAATAAGAACAAACTGTCCTGGCCAGGTGGCTCAGTTGGTTGGAGCATCGTCACATACACCAAAAGGTTGTGGGTTCGATCCATGGTCAGGGCACATAACCAGGTTGCAGGGTTTGATCCCTGGTCGGGGAGTGTGGGAGGCAACAAACAGATGTTTCTCTCTCTCTCTCTCTCTCTCTCTCTCTCTCTCTCTTCCTTCCTCTCTCTAAACATATCCTCAGGTGAGAATTATAAAAAAGAAAAAGAATAAACCTAAGCCAAGGAAACAATAACAGGAAGTCAATCGGATTCATCAATAACCAATTCTAAAGTTTAAGAGATTCCTTGTGTATGCTCCTTTCACTCAGCCGCAAGTTCCTGAGGACAGAGACAGGAGCTGATCTCTGGAGTTCCCACTATCGTGGACTGAAGGATGCCTGAGATTTGGGGAATGGCAGTGGGGCTGTATAACAAACAGAGCTTCGGGCCAGGACCCGTGAGATCAATTTGAGAACTACCTCTCTCCCCTAGTATCTGTCATTTCTCCTCATAGCCTCAGTTTCCTCCTCTGCATAATGAATGGGGTTTATTAATACTATCAGCCCTGCTTATGTAACAGGATTGTAATGAGAAAACTTAGGAGAAAGTGCACAGTAAACTGTTAAGTGCTTCGCAGATGTTGCCTGGGAAAGCCATCATCTGGCCTCTAGCTACTGCAATAGCTTCCTGACAGTCTTCTGCTTCCATCTTACCCCAGCCCAGTCCAGACTCTACAGGGCAGCCAAAGTGATAGCTGGAAATATAAATCAGATCTGTTCACTTCCTGGCCAAAATCCTTAAGGGCTTCCATTGCGCTTAGAATCCAAACTGCTCCTCCTGGCCCTCCGCATGGTCTCCGCCTTCCTCTCCGCCCCTCGCTAGCTCCCTCCTTACTCCACGCTGTAATCACACTACTGGAATCCAGCAGGATGGTCTTCCTGCAGCTCCTACAGACCTGGCAGGAGCCTGGCAGGATCATGCAAGTCGGACCCTCCCCGACCCGTCCCGGGTAGTAGGCGCCCCGCCCCTCCTTCCCTCGCTATCACAGTGTCCCGTTTTACTGTCTTGCACCTATAACTTCCTGCAGTCATCTTCCTTGCTTACGAGCCCAGGGCCTGTCTAACCCCTAGAGTGCAAGTCCCTGCCATCGAGTGTAGTAGGTGTCCTTCTCCGTGTTCTGTTGGGTGAGTGAACGAAGTGCTTGGATAAAACTAAAGGATGTGAATAAAAAAGTTTTGGAGTTCGTTTTGATTACCTCGTTCGTCGCCAGAAATTGTAAACTTGTGAGGACGCTGACCAGTCCACAATCCTACATAGCCAACAAAAGTGGTTCCTGTGAATGCGATCTGAAACCAAGAGAAAAGGGATCACTCTACCATCCCCAAAAATATATACTTTGAAATTATCTTATTTTGCCCCAAAGGTCATGGATTTTTTTCTTCTTCTAAGGTTCCAACATTAATAAAAACTCTGAAATAGCCTTCTAGGAGGTTTTACCTTGGATAGAATTCAATGGACTTGTGACCTTGGCAGGGAAAAAGGTACATGTTTATTTTCACTAACTTCTAACTGAAATTTCACTTCTTCTGTAATGAATACACGCACAAAACCATGTCATCATAGCAGTGTCCGTGACTCCATCACCAGCAGAAATTGTGGATATTTTCCCATACAGAATGGTATCACACCTATCTCGCTTTGCTATACATACATATCTTGATTCACACTTATTACTACCCTGAAATTATGCTAGTTATTAGAGCCACTGTCAAATTTTACTATTTAATGTGTTAGGGAAAAAATGTAGTATGGAAATGGCTGTATTTCAACTTAATGGTTTTCTTTGTAATCCCATGCAATTTATTTTATATATTATAAAACATAATTCTAAGAAGGGATCAACAGACTTCACCACAGGGGTTCTCTCACCAAGAAGGTTAAGAAGTTGCAATATGTGGAAAACCCTATGTGTTTGAACTTTTTTTTTTTCATCCTCACCCGAGGACATTTTTGCATTTATCTTCAGATAGAGCGGGAGGGAGAGAGGGAGGAAGCGAGAGAAATATTGATGCTCAAGAGACACATCAAGTGGTTGCCACCCACACGATCCCAAACGGGGCCGGGGACAAACTGCAACCGAGGTATGTGCCCTTAGCGAAAACTGAACCCAGAACTCTCTGGTCCACAGGCCAACACTCTAACCACTGAGCAAAACTGGCCAGGGTGATGTTGTTTGAACTTTTAATGAGAAAATATTTTTGTCTGTAAAAGCAGATGACCAAATGAATATTTAGTGAGTTTTTCATATTTGTGACTCAACCCCTAAATGCAAAGAACAAACAAAATATGGTCTTTGTCCCAAAGTCAAAATCTGGCATGCTCTGTTCTGTTTCATAGCAACAGTATGCCATGTATACTCGATGTTTATTAATTAATGTCTTCCTAAAAGTTTACATAGAAACATGACTAGTACACATTAGATTATACTTTTAAATAAGTAATACCACTGGACAGAATTCATCAATGTTTGCTCAGTGTTACTAGATCTTACAATGATGAAAATAAAATGATCTCAGAATAATTTCTTAAAGATCACATGTAAGAGAGTGGTGTGGGTCAATCATACTTGTAGAGTGAAGCACCATTTATTATTTGACCACATTTATCAAGCATCTACCACATGCTTTGCATAGATTTTTTACTTCACTTTACCTTTATAACTATCACCATAAAGTAATTATTAACCTCTTTGAGTTATAGTCTGCAAAATGGGTTTAAGTGATTTCCCAGGTTCATAAAGGAGGTAGCAGGATTCAAAGCCAGGACTGTCAGACCCTAAAATTGGGTGTTTCCAGCCATTACACTACACAGCCCCTGCTGGACGTGGGAAAGCAGAGGAAAGAACTGACTTGGCATCATAAGTGGACGACAGATCATATCCTCATAGAGATTTCCCCAAGGAATATGGATTGACCTCTTTAAGTAGATGCTTAATAATAATAGATGATGCTTCTTTCTATAAACATAATTGATGTAAACCTCTCTTCTGGTTTTGTTTTTCCAGGAGTTTGATGTGTCTTTTTTTGTTTGTTTATTTGTTTTTTTCCTTTATTGATTTGAGAGAGAGAAGAAGGGACAGGGAGAGAGAGAGCTAAAAACATCAATGTTGAATGGCCACCTCCTGCATGCCCCACACTGGGGATTTGGCCCACAACCTGGCCATGTGCCCTGACTGGGAATCAAACTGGCAACCTCTTAGTGCATGGGTCAATGCTCAACCACTGAGCCACACCAGCTGGGCAGGACTTTGATGTTTTTTGTATCTTAAACTGATAACACATTTAATTGGCAGGACATTCTAATGATTGCTTACTTGGGTTAGCAAGTCTCAGATTTCTGAATCTAATGTTGCATGGACTATACCTGTCCATTCTTTACGAATTGCACATCCACGGTCAGCTTGCGTAAGAAATTCCCAAATGGGTAATCCAGATTCCGGCCGTGGTAAATGTGGCCTCTGGAGTCTTGAGCCACAATACTGGTGCAGAATCTGAGAAAAGGGGAAAGTCCAACCGGAATGAATGAGAAAAATAAGAAAAAGAAAAATGAGTTTTTTATTTTTAAGATAAGTCCTTAAAGTAAAGCACAATTGTTATTCCTTACAATGGACACATATGGTATATGATCCTTGTACAAGACTATGGATTCACAATTCAAGATGAAAACACAACTGTACATAGCTCATCAGTGTTTAGTGTTACTAGATCTTAGCCCACAGTACACATGGCATCAAAACATTCTGAAGAATTTCATCCTAAATATAAATTTGAAACTATCTACTCTGGGCTCGGCTACAATTGAACTTTGTTATTTCGCTGCATGGCAGCATGTGGTCAATTTAACACATTGTTCCAAGTTGCTCAAGATCATTTCTCTGTTCCATGAATTTCTCAGAGCAAGCAGAATGGCACTAAACCATTCTGGTCCACAAATGTTTCATTTTGTCTCCTTGCAAAAACAGTCAACTCCTTAGAGGCTTGGCACTTTTCCTGTCCCCTTTAGAGTGACTTGCACATAATTAATAGGAGAAAACAATACTTTTAAAACTTTCAACCAGATGCCTTGGCCAGTTTGGCTCAGTGGTTAGAGCGTCAGCCAGTGGACCAGTGAGGCCAGGGTTTGGTTCCTGCTGGGGGCACGTAGTTCAGTTGTGGTTTGTCCCTGGCCCTGGTTAGGGTTGTGTGGGTGGCAACCACTCCATGTGTCTCTCTGACATCAATGTTTCTCTCTCTCTCTTCCTCCTCTCCCTCCAGCTCTATCTCAAGATAAATGTAAAAATGTCCTTGGGTGAGGATAAAAAAATAAAAATAAATAAATAAATAAAACTTTCAATCAGAGAGAAGTAGTTTGAGGAAAAGAGGAAGGGGTGTACTAAGGTATCTAAATGCCTGTATTCTCTGAGTTATATGAAAAAATATTTACATATAGCACGTCCAATTCTAGGTGGTGGGGAAAGGGGAGAAGAAATGCATATCCACACAAAACTAAGAGGAAACACCTTAAAGTACTGATGGTCATTTCTGAATAATGGGATGTGGTTAATTTGTTTTCACTGTTCTGTATTTACTAATTTTTTAGAATGATTATATATTACTTTTATAATTAGGAGAAAACAAGTGTTACTTAATTTTTGTTTGTTTAAAGAAGGAAGCTTGGTCAGTTTTTAATTTTTTCTAAGGTTTCTGATCACAACTTCAAAGAGTTCATGTAAAGGAGGGGACTGATAAAGCAAAGTTTGTAGAATCTCTCTCAAAGATGATTTTTCGAAATTGGCAAGACAACACTTGTGTCATGCCCAAATGTTTTCACACGAGGTAGCTCACAAGCACGGGGAACCATGGTGGCCAGGCCCAGGGAGGCACTGCAATGGAGACACATGCTTTTAGCAGCAGCTCTGACCACTCACCACTTGACTTTCATCAAGTTATCCCCCTGAGGTTTGGTTTCCACTTGACAACAGGTAATACCACCTTCAATGCCTGGCACCCAGTGAGCTCAATATAGGGTAGCTAGTTTATTCTGATTTGAAAAGCCTTATACTTATACCAGAAATGAGAATAAAACATTTCCTTTGTTAGGAGTTTGCCTGTGTTTTGGGTTGTCAGGCAATTCAATATATACCTTAATATCACATCCCAAAGTTAGAATGGGATGTGATATTAAGGTACATATTTTGCTCTCTCTCATCCTCTCCTTCTGTGGACTTTTCCCTTTTCCCTCCTGGAGGCTGTAGATTGGGTCACTTGGAACCTGAGCTGTCAGCTCTCTGGGCAAGGGAGGCATCCAGCACTCACCCCTAAGAAGAGCCTCTGGTGCCCTCATCTCCCCAGACACACACACTGGAACCCCGCCAGCCTCTGAGCTCAAACACCTTTATGGCTTTTCTTTTTTAGGGAAATGGTCCCCAAGTGGGTCCACGCAGTGATGCAAAACAGTGACTCCAACAAAAGAAGGTGAAAGTGAACAAGAAAACTGATTTTTTTCCACTGAGAAAAAAAGCCGCATGTCAGAAGAGGGGAAAGATGGGGTAGGAGATAAGGAATGGCAAAATTAACTTCATTCAACTGAAAATCACTTTAACAAGTATGTGTCTTATCTGTGTCTTAAAACATTTTTCTAAAGAGAAGTGCAGTCACAGTCCATGTTAACCTACTCTGCCTAGTTCTGGGAAGATGCCAAGGGAGAGGACAGTAATGTTTCATTATCCCAATAACTTCTTTTCATCATCTTTTGGCAGCCAGAAGCTATTAAGTATCTGCAAGACGTTACTAAATGAGGCTGGTCTGGTAGTAAAACAATTAAGTCCTGAAGGCAGAAACCAAGTCAAACCTGTTAATCACAGGAACGGTTACTGAGCCCATGGAGACTTCAGGCTCGCCCTGCACTTTGCCTGGGATCAACCAGGCATTCCACTTTGCTCTTAGGTCTGTGCACCAAATATTGGCTGGCCTGTGACCCCAGCCCTGGAAGGAACAGACTGGGAAAGAGGAGTCAGGATCACCAGCCATGACAAACATGGGGGAGAAATGCAGGGGACAAATCAGTGCTAGGCCGACCTCTGCTTTATAAGGCTGGAGGGTCCCTGGGTTAACTAGAGGATCATGTGAGAGTGGGGTTAGTTCCAAAAACTTCCTGGAAAGTACAGGTTGAGCAGTTTTAAAGGTGGGATGCTACCTGGATTGGTGGAGAGAGAAAAGGGGGCCTGTGGCAGAGGGGAAGTTCGTGCTGATGTCACAGAAGCTGCTCTGCTTGTTCTTTTCACATTTACCGAGAGAAGCAAAGAGGAAGTGCTGGGGGTTTCTGGGCAGCCCAGTCACCACTCTGTTTTTATCACACTGAAAACATGCCTGCTCCCGCTCTGACAGCAGTCCCGGTCAAGCCCAAGCGAACCGGCTGCGTGGGGCACTCACGCGGTGAAGTCGTAGGCCAGGTTCACCAGGATGCAGTCGGCCAGGCTGAAGTTGAGGACGTCGCACATGCCGCGGATCTCGTCGGTGTAGGGCTGGGGCAGGGAGCCTTCCAGCTCCCCGACCGCCTTTCGCATCACTGCGTGGACCCACTTGGGGACCGTATCCCTAAAAAAGAAAAGCCATGAGTGTCTGAGCTCGGGACGGGTGCGAGTTGTGAGCCTGGGGAGTTGAGGGCACCAAAGGCGCCCGTTCTTAGGGGTGAGTGCTCCATGCCTCCCTTCCTCAGAGCTGACAGCTCAGGCTCCACGCCACCCGATCTACAGCCTCCGGGGGAGAAAAGGGAAACGTGCACCGGAGAGCGGGTGAGAGCGTGGTCCCCAGAGGGGCGAGCTTGGGCTGGGCAGGGAGGGCGTGGGCTGCGTCCCTGGTCAGTAGTGGAGCGGCTGAGGCAACGTCCCGCGCGCCACCCTGACCTGGAATGTGTCGAGGATGGGCACGTCACCGGTGACACCGAACCTGAAAGCCAAACCAGCCGTGCCAGGGCATCCCCAACCTCCAGCTGCCTAGAGCAGCAGCAAATACCAGTTCTGGTCCTTGCCAATCCCTCCACATTCCAGAGGCGGGGGCGCGGGGACGCGGGGGCGGGTGGAGGGCAGGGCTGTGGCAGACGGAGGAAGGGTTGAGAGTCTGGGTTCAAGCACGCTGGGCCGGCGCTTCTGGGCTTTCCCGCACTCGGACCCGGGCAACCTGCCCCGCAGACCCCGGCCCGCCCCGCGCTCACCCGAGGACGTGCACCATCGCGGCGCGCAAGAAGTCCAGGTCGAAGTGCTGCAGCACCGGCAGCCAGCGCAGCTCGGGGGCCGCGTCCAGGCTCACGTTGAAGAGCGGCGGGGCGGGGGGCGCGGCTGCGGCAGGCACCCCGGCCCCGGCCAAAAGCAGTACCAATGCCAGCGCTGGGGCGGCCACAGTTAGGACCATTGCGGCCATAGCCGGTGCCCCAGGAAGCGCTGGAGGAGGAGGAGCCGGGGCGGTACCTGGAGGGCTGGAGGAGGAGCCCGCGCGACCTCGCCGGCCGAGCCACTAGGGACCCGGAACGGCTAGAGGAGCCGCTCCCGCCGCGTTTCCCCTGCGCCTCCCTCTCTCCCGCCGGCCGCAGCGAGTCCCGCGCGCTCTCCCTCCCGCGGGGGCGCTGCACTTTGCGGGACGTAGCTACTCACCCCCGCTCCCCGCCCCATCTCTCTCAGGTGGGCCGGGACGGTGTAAACTGCGGCCTCCAGACAATTAATGATTTTCAGTACGAAAAGGCAGCAGGAGAGTCCTAATTGGTAGAGAGGGATCAGTCCCTCTCCGCCTCATTTGCTCATATTAAATTCTAAAAGGGTTTCTCTGGATTTTATAAGGGGAAGGTTCCCGCTAAGGGCACGTACCTCGGTTGCAGTTTGTCCCTGGTCCTGGTTGGGTCGTGCGGGAGGCAGCCAGTCGATGTGTCCCTTTCACATCGAAGTTTCTCTCTCTGTCTCTTCCTCTCTCTCCCTCCCACTCTATCTGAACAAAAAATAGAAAATTGTCCTCGGGTGAGGATAAAAAAAAAGTATATATGTATTAAAAGCTCTGTTAATTCTATTACAGATATTTTATTTTATTTTATTTTTATTTTTTTTTTAATCCTCGCCCGAGGACATTTTTCCATTTTTTGTACAGATAGAGTGGGAGGGAGAGAGAGGAAGAGAGAGAGAGGGAAACATCGATGTGAAAGGGACACATCGAGTGGCTGCCACCCGCACAACCAACCAGGGCTGGGGACAAACTGCAACCGAGGTACATGCCCTTAGCGGGAACCGAACCCGGGTCTCTCCGGACCGCAGGCGGACGCTCTAACCGCTGAGCCAAACTGGCCAGGGCTATTTACAGATATTTTAAAATCACATATTTACTCTTGTACATATATAAAAAGTGAAACAAATTGATTAAGGTATCACATAAACAACTTTGCATTCAAAATTAGACTCTTTTGAATCATCCTGCTTGACTTGGCATCACAGATGCCCGTTTTCCCACACATCACTCTCTGTGCTATTAAGAACCGTGGTGTTGCAGCATTTGTTGAATTCTCCACTCAAAAAGGGGCTTCCAAGGTGTTGGTAATGTTTCTTGAACTGGGTTGCTGATAACAGGGATGTACTCAACTTGTGAGAATTTGTTGAGCTTAAATACACTTAATGGTACTTGTACTTTTATGTATATATTATACATCAATACAAAGTTTAAACAATTTTTTAAAAATCCACTATTTTTTTCTAGAATTTTCTTACAAGCTACTGACTTCTCCTCTAAAAATTTTCATGCTAGTCTTTGCTTTATCTTAGCAGATATCAACTTGAGAGTTTTAGTCTGAGTTCATGAATGTGTAGGCAATGACAATTATGTAAAGACTATCATTTACTACTTTTCCTAGCAAGGTTATCATTTAAAATTGAAGGAGAAATAAAGAGCTTCCCAGACAAAAAAAAGCTAAAGGAGTTTGTTAGCACCAGTATTACAAGAAATGTTAAAGGGCCTTCAAAGAAGAAAAGAATAAATAAGAATAAAGAAGTAGAAAGGAGAAGAAAACAAAAATAAAATGGCAATAAATATGTATCCATCAATAATCACTTTAAATGTAAATGGCTTAAGCCCTGGCCAGTTTGGCTCAGCGGTTAGAGCGTCGGCCTGCGGTCCGGAGAGACCCGGGTTCGGTTCCCGCTAAGGGCATGTACTTCGGTTGCAGTTTGTCCCCGGCCCTGGTTGGTCGTGTGGGTGGCAGCCACTCGATGTGTCCCTTCACGTCGATGTTTCTCTCTCTCTCTCCTTCCTCTCTCTCCCTCCCACTCTATCTGTACAAAAAATGGAAAAATATCCTCGGGTGAGGATAAAAATAAAAAAAATTAAAAAAAAAAAAAAAATGTAAATGGCTTAAATGCCCCAATCAAAAGTCATAGGGTTGCTGAAAGCAAGACTATACATATGCTGTCTACAAGAGACCTACCTCAGAACAAAAGATACACACAGACTAAAAGCAAAGGGATGGAAAAAGATACTTCATGCAAATGGAAAGGAAATAAAAAGCTGGGGTAGAAATACTTATATCTGACAAAATAGACTTTAAAAGAAAGGCTATAGTAAGAGACAAAGAAGGACACTATATAATAAAGGGAGCAATCCAACAAGAGGATATAACCCTTGCAAACATTTATGCATCCAACATAGGAGTACCTAAATATGTAAAGCATATTTTGATGGATATAAAGGGAGATATCAACAGTATTACAGTCATAGTAGGGGATTTTAACACCCCATTGATATCAATGGATAGATCTTACAGAGAAAATCAACAAAAAAAAAAACAATGGCCTTAAATAACAAACTAAATAAGATGGATTTAATTGATATAGTCAGAACATTTCACCCCAAAGCAGAATATACATTCTTTTCAAATGCACATGGAACATTTTCTAAGACCACATGTTAAGACAAAAATAAGTCTCAATAAATCTCCTCTGGCCATAATGAAATGAAACAAGAATCAATCACAAGGAAAAAACCACTGAAGAACACACAAAGACATGGATGCTAAATAACATGTTACTAAACAATTAATGGGTTAACAATGAGATCAAGGAAGACTCAAAAGATAAATCGAAACAAATGAAAATGAGAACACAACTCAAAAATCTATGGGACACAGCAAAAGCAGTCTAAGAGGAAAATTCATAGCCTTACAGGCCTACCTCAAGAAATAAGAAAAATCTCAAATAAACAATAGAATTTTACCCTTAAAGGAACTAGGAAAAGAACAACAAACAAAGCCCAAGGTGATTAGAAGAAAAGAAATAATAAAGATCACAGCAGAAATGAAATGGAGTCTAAAAGATCAATAAAACCAAGAGCTGGTTCTTTGAAAAGATAAACAAGACTGACAAACCTTTAACCAGACTCATCTAGAAAAAGAGAGAATCCAAATAAATAAAATCAGAAATTAAAGAAGAGAAGTAACAACTGACACCAAAGAAATACAAAGAATTACAAGAAAATATTATGAACAACGATATGCCAACAAATTGACAATCTGGATAAAATGGATAAATTCCTAGATATATACAATCTTCCAAAACTGAACCAGAATGAATCAGAGAAGCTGGACAGAGTACAACTAGTGAAACTGAAGTAGTAATAAAAAAAAATCTCTCAACAAATGAAAGTCCTGGACTAGATGGCTTCACGGGTGAATTTTACCAAACATTCAAAGAAGAATTAACACCTATCCTTCTCAAAAAATTCAAGAGGAGGGAAGACTCCTAAGCTCATTTTAGGAGGCCAGCATTATCCTAATTCTAAAATCAGATAAAGTCACTATAAAGAAAGAAAATCATATCCCTGATGAACATAGATGCTAAAATCCTCAACAAAATATTAGCGAACTGGATCCAGCAATACATTAGAAAGATCATACACCATGATCAAGTGGAATTTATTCCAGGGATGCAAGGTTGACACAATATTCCCAAAACAATAAACGTGATACACCACATAAAATGAAGGATAAAAACCACATGATCATATCAACAGACACAGAAAAGGTATCTGATAAAACCTCTTAGCCAAGCGGAAATAGAAGGACACACTCAGTGCAGCAAAGGCCATATATGACAAACCCACACCCATCATACTCAATGGGCAAATACTACAATCATTTCCCTTAAGATCTGGAACTAGATAGGGATGCCTACTTTCATCACTCTTATCTGACACAGTACTGGAAGTCCTAGCCACAAAAATCAAACAAGAAATATAAGGCATCTAATGTGGAAAGGAAGAAGTAAAACTGTCATTTGCAGATGACATAATACTGTATATAAAGAACACTAAAAAATCCACCAACAAACTACTAGAACTGATAAATTCAGTAAAGTAACAGGATACTATATATATGTATATATCCAGAAATCAGTTGCATATGAAAACAATCCCATTTACAATTGCATCTATCTATTTATGAATGAATTTAAACAAGGATGTAAAAGACCTGTACTCAGAAAATTCTAAGACACTGAAGAAAAAAAAATTGAAGATACAAATAAGTAAAAGCATAAACTGTGTTCAAGGATAGGAAGACTTAACATCATTAAAATGTCCATACCCCAAACAATCTACAGATTCAATGCACTTCCAATCAAGTTACCAATGGTGTATTTCATAGAACTAGAACAAATTCCAAAAATTTATATGGAATCACAAAAGACCCCAAAGAGCCACAACAATATTGAGAAAGAACAAAGGTGGAGGAATCACACTACCTGATATCAAATTATACTGTACGGTGATAGTAACTAAACCAGCATGGTACTGACATGAAAACAAACATATAGATCAATGGGACAGAATAGGGAACCCAGAATAGGGACAGAAATAAACCCATGCACCTTTATGGTCAGTTAGTATTTGACAAAGGAGGCAAAAACATACAGTGGGGTAAAAAACAAAACAGAACTATCATTTGGTTCCAAAAATTTTGAGACATCCATTTCATCAACTAAAAATGTGAAAAATTGTTTAAAATTATTTTATACTGTTTTAAAAAAGAATAGCATAACATTTTTCACAACATATATTTTTTTATCCTCACTCAAGGACATTTTTGCATTTATCTTCAGATAGAGCAGGAGAAAGAGAGGGAAGAAGAGAAACATCAACATGAGAGAGACACATCGAGTGGTTGCCACCCATACGACCCCAACCAGGGCTGGGGACAAACTGTAACCGAGGTACATGCCCTTAGCGGGAACTGAACCCGGCCTCTCTTGTCAACGGGCCGACGCTCTAACCGCTGAGCCTAACTGGCCAGGGCCATTTTTCACAATATTTACCTTACCTTTAAATAACTTTTTAATCAGTGATTGTTTAATGGTTGAATATTCCATTTAATAACTATATCCTAAGTTGCTTAACTATCCCCATATTTTAGATGACTTTGCACCCATTTTTTGCCATTGTAACTCATGTTACAATGGCTATTTCCCTATAGATAGTTTGTAGTACACATTGTTAGTTGCCTATCTAAAATCCATTTCCCTCTCTTCCTTGCTAACAGAAACTCAGTTTTGTTGGGATGGTTATAGTGTGCCTAAGCTGAGGGGCCAAAAATCCTATTTCTTGCTTTCAAGGCTTCCCTTGTTGGTAGAGTAGCCATGAAATCCAGTTCTAGCCAATCAGACCTAAAGAAAGCAGATGCAGGGGTACTGTGAAAGCTTTTGTTTTCCTAATAAAAGGAAGAGATGTGGCAACACCCCTTCTTGTTGCCTTAAACACATAAGAAATATCTATGAAGGTAAAGGTAGTATTATTACGTCCATTTTTCCAGATAAGGAGACTTCGGCATAGAAATGTTAAGTAACTTGCCCATGTTTATACATCTATGCCAGAGGCAGCATCTGAATCCAGTCTGACTTCACACTAAGGATGACAGGGCAGAAGAGGAGCCTAAGATCCTGAGGGCATCACGGAGCTCAAATCAGCAACTGTCTGCCTCCAGACTTCTCATGTGAGACTGGAGTCTGGTTACACTATTTTTAGATGCTATCCAGTTTCTTGCAGCAGAACAGCCCCAAACACATCTCTCAGCATATACTGAACCATTTTCTTTAAGAGACTCTCAGACATGGGTTTGAGTCAAAGGTTATGACTCCTTTTTTAGGTTCTTGGCACCTACCACAAATTTTATTTTCCCTAAGAATTATACTAACATAGTGCTTTTGTTAACATTGATGATTGCTGGGTAGAGGAAAGGGTCTCATCTAACACCCCCAGTAAACACATGGAAGGCAGTGGTTAAGAAGGTGACACCACAGCCCTCCCTGGCTGGTTTGACTCAGTGGTTGGAGCGTAGGCCTGCGGACCAGAGTTGCGGGTTTGTTTCCCGATAGGGGCACGTACCAAAAGAAAAAAGCCCTGGCCAGTTTGGCTCAGCGGTTAGAGCATTGGCCTGTGGTCCAGAGAGACCCAGGTTCGGTTCCTGCTAAGGGCACGTACCTCAGTTGCAGTTTGTCCCCAGCCCTGGTTGGGTTGTGCGGGAGGCAGCCACTCGATGTGTCCCTTTCACATCCATGTTTCTCTCTCTCTCTGTTCCTCTCTTTCCCTCCCACTCTATCTGAACAAAAAATGGGAAAATGTCCTCGGGTGAGGATTAAAAAAAAGAAGGTGGGACCACAATTCATCTGGTGTATTTTTTTTTTGGTATGTGCCCCTAGCGGGAACCGCACCCGGGACTCTGGTCCGCAGGCTGGCACTCCGACCGATGAGGCAAACTGGCCAGGGCTCGTCTGGTGTATTTGCATATTAATCCTTGCCTTGGTTTAAGTGCATTCCCCTCCGATTTAAAAAAAAATTCACAAGAGTGAGTCTTAAGGCACCTTTATTCTTCGGCCTCAAATAAAAGTGCTTCTTACACAATGACATAAGTGAAAATATGTACACTGTAAAAGATTCGGAAAGTAAAGTAGAAAGAAAAAACTCTCACATGATTCCAACATCAAAGAAAACCATGTTTAATATTTGGCATATTTCTTGGACTTTTATTATTCCCTATCTGCTCACGTGTAATTGGATTATACTATAAATACTTTGTATTTTGTTCTTTTCATTTATAAGCATTTCCTATTGTAAATATTTTAATGGCTACATAATATTCCACCATGTGAATAAACCATAGTTTAACCATTTCCATATTGAGATCAAATTGACAAAACAATGAAAGCAGAATTTGCAGAACGAAATAAAAATATCACGAGTGGCCTATACAAATATGTGATATTTAAATAGTACAGAATAAGCTGCTTTCTGTTCTTGTTTCGTTTTAAATATGTACAGACCAAAAACTGTACTAAGAGAGAAAAGGTTATTTCTTTAAAAAGAGAAAAGGATCCATGTCAGTAACTTACCTTCTTATTGCTATTCGACATGTTCTAAAAATCTCATAATACATTCTAAAAATATGTAAGCAATAGTTAATTTTTATTTTTATACAATAAAGGTTGTCACTTAGTAAAACAGTTTTATAGTCTGAAGAACAGAATATTACAGCTGATTAAACATTCTGGTTAATACAGAGTTGCCATACAACACTCTACATAGATTATAAATTTTCAAAGAATTGAATATGAAGTAATAAAAATGAAATTTATATTAATCACAGCCTTTAAAAAGTTGTACCAACTTTTAAACCATAACTTTTTTTTTATGATTCAGGAATACATTTCCTACTGCTGCCCTGTTCATCTTAAGCATCAGTTTGTCAGCAAACAGGCATTTCACCCTCCTGTCAGCTAAAATGTCCCTTTGTCAGGATGCCCCTGTCCCTAAGCTGTGCCTTTTTTGATAGCTCTATAAGTGGCCTTGTATTATACAGTCATTTTTAAAGTCTATTTCCTTCATTGGTTTCCAAGTTCTATGTGGCACAAACATTGTGTTTGCAACACACACAGCATCTAGCAGGGTGCTTTGCATATAGTGAACATTCAATACCATTTCTGCATTTCAAACTAGTTCCCCCCAAAATGGATGAGGGAGTAAAAGAAATATTTGTAGCAACTACAATCGGCATTTCAAATACATTAAGAGATAAAATAAAAACTTATTAATATCTAAACTTTGATAAGAAATTCACTGAATGCTTACTTTGTGGCAAATACCATGCTAAATTCTAATAAATATTAGTTCTCAGAATCTCAAAACAATCAGTGAGGTAGGTCATGTTTCAAATATTTGCTGAACCTGGGTATAGCACAGGTGGAGCTTATTTTGTGGAGCTTATTTTCCAGTGGAACTTGCTAAGATAACATACATAATACATCAGCATTCCAGTCATATATATATATTTATATATATATAAAACACTGGACAATGTGAGTTCATCCCCAGAAATGGACCCATTCTCAGAGCTGACAAAAATTTGAACCTGAAAAGCTGAAGATGAGACGCTGGTGGCTCCTTCAAGGTAAGTCACCCTGAACGGCCACTCTGCCTTTGCTGGTGGCAGCCAACCTTGTAAGGACCTGATCTTCAGATTTATAGCAAACATAAAATAATCTCAAGAGATTCATAATATAATAAAAGAAACCATACAGAGATAAAATACTATGGGATTAAAGAAATAAAACAGACTTAAGACTTCACCTTTGTAAACCAGCTAGTTTTCCATCTTGCATATAAATTTCAGTTAAGAGCAGGGTGAAGTCACAGAACACAAGTCAGAACATTGACTAGACTTTGGTCTCTTGGTATCTAAGTGGGATGGAAAAGTCTAGCAGAAGGATGAAATTTTCAGGCACCATTACAATTCATGCAGTCAAGTGTGGTCCCCAGCTGCTATGCCATTTTGATTTTATTTACCCCTCTCTGGAGCTAGATACATGAGACACTCAGTTCAAAAATGCAAAAAGAAAAGAGCAGTTTCCAGTCTGAACAATTCAAATTTGCATCGGACACTTTGTGTGAAACACTGAAGTTGCTAAGGTTGACTCGGAGAGCTCCCCTCACTAGGCCAGTGCAATTTAATCATTAAACATCAAGGTCTTCACAACTAATCCCCAGCATGTTGGAGAAAGTCACACAGTTTCTTTTTTGAAAGTCACACATTCAAATACAACTTAAGTTGAACTTAGAAAGTGATCAGAAGATACTGGAGTGGAACAATAAAAGTAGTTTTAGAAGCTGCTTTCTAATTCAGAGTGGGCAGAAAATTGCTTTTTACTTTAAAGTAATAAAGAATGACTTTCTCATCTACCACAATATTATCTAAGAATCCGAGGTAAAAGGCACCAAGCTTTCCAAATGCAACAACTTGCAAACAGAGAGACTAACCATGCTTTCATGTCCCCTGAAATCTACTCAAGCATACCCAGGGAAGGGAGACCAACACAGCTGCTCAGCGCATAGAAGAGTACCTGTTTGATATTAGAAACCTTTTTATGGACACAAGGCTGAAAATATTAAGGGTGAAAAATGGCTAAGGGAACCAATTTGATTTATTATTCCTCTATGGAAGAGTGAGCAGCCCAAATGATAAAGACTCTCCAAGATTACTATTTATACTTAAGGCAATATTAAAAGCAAGGTTTTTATCTGGTATTCAAAAAATATTTAAATCTTTTGGATGGACTGAAAGAGCTAAACTGTCTACCCAAAATCTGTACAGCAGGGACCTGTTTTCAGCAGGTAAGCCTATTTACAAGTAAGAACCTCTTACTCTTGTAACACTGTCCTGTTTCATTTTAAGAGAATATATAACTCCCGTCCCCTGCAGAGCTTTTCTATAAGGCCTCTGTGACCCCATAGAAATATGAACCTATCTCTAATACAGAACTATTTACACTGCACTGCAACTACACATATACACACCTCTGTCCCCCACATCCTCTAAATAAGCTGTGAATGCCTTGAATGAGGGATTATGGTCATTTTTACTTCTACTGATATCAAGCACTCAGTAATTTATTCTTCGCATGAATGAGAAATGAAAACGATTTTACAACATCACTACTGTTTACTTTTCTAAGATTACCACCATTACTCATCTCTAAAATATAAACACAAAATTGCTACCAAATTTACTTTGGTTTTCACAGTATAGTGTTTCTGGACTTTTTAATGTAAACATTCTTGATTTATTAATTTTCAGAGTAATGACACACATTTAGCATTCTCTTTGGAATAAAAATCTTGCAGGTCCAGGTTACTTCATCCTTTTTCTCTTTTTCAAAAGTGCATCTCGTAGTGCCAGCTGGAAGATAAGAAAAAACAACTAAACATAACTCTTGGGTACCCAATTATACTAATTTGGTTATATGAAAGTGTACTGAAATGGAATCACTAAATCATCATCCTTATCCTCAAAAACTACAAATAGTGAAGTATTCCATAACAGACCAGATCTGTCACCAGGCTAGGGCCTCCTTACTGCTTAGAAATAGACAAAGCTCTTGAATGCTGTTCCCACTCCATTGGACAAAAGCTTAAAACAGAGCAGCTACAGAAGACAGAGATGGAGCACTACCTGTCTCCAGAGATATTACAAGGTACTTCTCTAGTCTATACAGTTAATACTCTACAGTTATGGGTGGAACACACTGTCTAAAAGCCAACAGGAAAACAGATTTTTTTTTCAAAATCACCTCTTTCAAGATCACATATATTCCACTAAATATGGCACACACAGGACCATATACAGATGTCTATAATATATAATTTAGAACACAAGAAAAATGTTCCCTGTATTTGCAGATTTTCAAATGGGTTTATTTAATGCAATAAATAAACTAAGAACATTTTACAATAAGTAATTATTAAAATTAACTCAGAATCCCGAAAATTGTGTTTTAAGACAAAAATATTTATTTTAGTTACTATGGGCTAATTAGTAAGTTGTTTAATTATTTTGTCTTGGAGGTGTGAACCCTGAGAAAGAAGGTACCTACTAAGAAGGACTCCTGGTGGTTAGCTGGGCTCAAAATTAAAAAATAAAACAAAGCAGAGCCTAGCAGCTGTTCTGCACAGGGGGCTCTCATGCAAACTGCACTTCAGGAAGAAGCCTGCACTGATCTGCCTGTCTCAGCACTGAAATGCCTGCCTGCACTGTGCTTCCACCATCTGAGATCTGAGCCGGCCTTTATAATGTAGTTCTCGGGATCCTATTTCAACCAATAGGGCTGAGGCTTTCCCCATTCAATCGGAGTTGTGCAGCTCTGACCAATCAGAGTGGTTCTATTCTGACCACAGGTTTTGAACCAATTAAGCTTCGAAAATTTGGAGACCTTATTTGCATGAGGACAGATGAATCAGGAGTCAGGGTGAGGACTCCAGTCCCTATAAGCCATCTCCTCTCTAGCTCTGGGAGTGCACTTTCCCTTTCCACTAAAGACTGGGTCCCGCCCTGGCTGGTTTGGCTCAGCAGTTAGAGCATTGGCCTGCGGTCCAGAAAGACCCGGGTTCGGTTCCTGCTAAAGGCATGTACCTCAGTTGCAGTTTGTCCCCGGCCCTGGTTGGGTTGTGTGGGTGGCAACCACTCGATGTGTCCCTTTCACGTCGATGTTTCTCTCTCTCTCAATCCCCCTCCCACTCTATCTGAACAAAAAATGGAAAAATGTCCTCAGATGAGGATTAAAAAAAAAAGACTGGGTCTCCCCCTGGCTGAGCTGAAACACCAAAGGTATCTTGCCAGAGCACAGCAAAATAGACCAGACTAGTGCAGTGCAAAGCAGACCAGCATGTAGTAAAGTAGACCATCCAGGAGCAGAGCAGGGCTGTTTAGCTAGAGAGGGGCCGGGCCTCAGGGCTATATCATAATCGAGCTGTTTTATACTGAATGAAGTTTCCTTCTTTAGCACATCCCAAATGAGGGATTCCTATTGGTGTTGACTTGGTAAGTTGACGGATATATTTATGATTAAATTAAAGTAGTGAATTATGTATTCTAATTTGACTGGTCCCAGACTTTAATCCCATGTGGTTCTTCCCTAACCACAGGAACTGGGTTCCTAAACTTAAAAATGAAGAGTTTAAGAACTGAAGAAAAGGAAGACTACACAATCAATGTTCAAAGTGAACCTATGAAAGTTCTTAAAAGTTTTACATGTCCCAGAAGAAAATAAATAAAACAGAAAAATAAATCCAAAGTTAAAAAAAGATAACCAAGGTCAGCGTACATGTCTTAAGTGTATGATGAATACTATTCCAATTCCCAAGCACCACTCTTGGATTCCGAGAAACTTTTAAAGATCTGTCACTTTTGAATTATAATAAGATATGTATTCATTTTTTGGGGGTCAGGGTGGGGAGTTGCCTGGCTCTACCTCTAAATGTTCAAAGTTTTTACATTTTATGATTTTAAGTTATAAGCTCTTGCCTTTAGATCATATCTTGATATTTCTTGTGGATAGGCAGAATAAATTAATACTTTCATTTTAACCTAATTTGCATGGCCAAGAAGGTATTTCTCAGACTCATCTGTCTTATTTTCTCAACTGTAAAATCAGTTTAATCACAGTACCTCCTCATATTGCTGTATGCTGAGGAAATAAATATGTTGAGTAGGAACAAAGCCAGGTTTCTCTATCATGCCAAAAAAGGCATGCTAAAAAACAGAGGAAGTCGCTAAAATGTAGGAAGATCACAAAAACCTCATAATGAAGCAAGGCCTATCAACTACTACTATTTCCTCTACCCTAAACTCTTACAAAGGTCTAGTGAAGGATAAACTAATGGAATTAATAAATTCAACTATGAATTTAAATTGAATTGGAAAATTTTAAATATTAAATGGCACCTTTCCTTTTCCCGTAACTTCAACAACTTCTATTCAAATGCTGTCATTTTACTATTTACATAATATTGTTAAACAGTTTAGAACTAGAAAGATTAAATAAACAGACAATAGATTTTAAATGGCACCTGGCCGGTTTTCCTCAGCAGTTAGAGCGTCAGCCCACAGACCAGAGTCACGGGTTCAATTTCGGTCAAGGGGATGTATCTCGGTTGTAATTCAATCCCTGGCCCTAGTTGGGGTTATGTGGAAGGCAACCAATCGATGAGTCTCTCACGTCAGTGTCTCTCTCTCTATCTCTCCCCCTCCCGCCTCCCACTCCATCTGAAGTTAAATGAATATCCTCGGGTGAGGATTTAATTAATACTTAATTCAATTAATACTGGCTTGGTTCCCACATGGACAGAGCATTACCCTGGAGACCTGGCCATTACATTCAGGCCTAGAAGGCTTATCCTTGGCTAGCATTTTGGAACACCGATTCAGAATGTGGGACTAGTTTACCCTTGACCAGATTTCCTGGAGATTCTTCAGAATATAGTTAGATACACTTTGGTGTACCTCCCGTAGAAAAAGACATTAAAATATAAATTGGTTTCACTACAGTGAATTACTGAAATAAAAAGCCCATCACAAGACTAACCATGAAAGACAAAAAATGGATAAAATGGAATCCCAAAGGTCTGTAAACATAAAGGCTTTGCAAAAGGGCACATACTAACAACAGAGCCTTTAGTTTGCATGCTTTACTAAAACTGTTTCTGAGCTATTACCACACATAACTGTTGCTTTTAAAAAACTACCAGACATGCCCTGGCTGGTTTTGCTCAGAGGTTAGAGGGTCGGCCTGCAGTCCGGAGAACCCAGGTTCGGTTCCGCTAAGGGCACGTACCTCGGTTGCAGTTTGTCCCCGGCCCCCGTTGGGGTCGTGTGAGTGGCAACCACTCGATGTTTCTCTCTCTCTCTCTTTCTCCCTCTTTCCCTCCTGCTTTATCTGAAGATAAGTGCAAAAAATAAAAAATAATAATCAAAGACTACCAAATAATAAGCACTCAAAAATTCTTATTCAGTTAATTTTGATATTCTATCACATCAATGCCAGAACATTTTAGCAAGGGAATGCTCTGTACCCTTTTACTTATAGAGGAGAAAAACAGATTCCCCTTTGGTCACACAGATAAATCTCAACCAAGTCAGGTCAAGGACTTGCATGCCCTATCTTCCACCTCTCCGATAACTCTCCCCATTAACCCTAAGACACAGTGGCGCAAGGTCTTTAGGAGGCATAAGTCCATCCCAAAGTAAAATTGTTTTAAAATGTCAATACCAAGCTTCAGGTTGAACTCACCTGCTTTTCTCGGAAGGAACGCTTATTTTTTGAACGAACATTATGGCTATACCGCATCATCATAAAGTTTTTTTGTTTTTTCTTCTCTTTATTTGTGGAACTGGAAAATGGATTCATTTTGGTTTTCTTCCTCACAAATTCTTTTCGGTCTGTCTTTCCAGCCTATCAGCACACACATACACAAAACAATTCAGGAGTTACCTAATCAGCATACATGTCTCTTCTGTGCCAAGTGCTCTACTGGATGCCAAGGACACAAAGATGAACGGAACAAAGTCCTCACTCCCCGCTGACTCAGTCCAGGGGAAATGGACCATGATGTACTGCAGTGGGGCAAGTGGAGCTCAGTGGAAGAAAAGGTCATAAGTCAGCCTGGTGTGGTCTGAGGAACTTCCTAGAAAGGGAGACCTAAGAACTGTTTTTTATAGGGTGAAGGCATTCAGGGTTGAGGGGTGGGGAGGAGGAGGAGAAAACGCAGTAGAGCATTTCAGGAAATAGGAATAACAGTACACGCAAAGGTGTGGAGGAGGAAGAACATGGGTTTTTTAACGTATCTAAACAGGTTTTAGTACAAATGGAATGCAGAGGGTGACGTGGAGCCAGCAGGGTCTGATGCCTGAAACAAGCAAAGGTACAGAAAATGTAGGCAGGGTGCAGTCACACAGTACTTCCCAAAGGCCAATCCAACTGTCTGGCTTTTCATTCAGGACTGTGAACATTCCCCTGCTTTTCCGATAGCTTTGATAAGTGTATTGAGCCTCCCTGACACCACGAGCATGTAACAGAGCTTTCTGTGCTCCACAACATGTTCTGGATGGCGGTTACATGGTTACCTAGTTGCTAAACTCATCTAACTGAATACCTCATACCTGTGCATTTCATTCTATGTTCAGTATACTGTACCTTTATTTAAAACACTATAATAAAATACTACCATTCTGTGCCTATACAAGTTCTGGGTCAGCCCTGGCCGGTTTGGCTCAGCGGTTAGAGCATCGGCCTGCGGTCCGGAGAGACCCGGGTTCGGTTCCCGCTAAGGGCACGTACTTCGGTTGCAGTTTGTCCCCGGCCCTGGTTGGTGTGCGGTGGCAGCCACTCGAGGTGTCCCTTTCACATCGATGTTTCTCTCTCTCTGTCTCTTCCTCTCTCTCCCTCCCACTCTATCTGTACAAAAAATGGAAAAATGTCCTCGGGTGAGGATAAAAAAAAAAAAAAGTTCTGGGTCATATTTCATTTCTTTGTTTTCTGTTTAAAGGACAAGGGAACAGTACGCCTCACTCACCATTGCAGTTGCTAGTCTGGTCTCCTTGTCAGACTTTGGCTTTTTATGAAGGCGTTCAATGTCCCGAAGAGAAAGTAACTCGCCCCTAGGATGAAGGAAAACAGATAGCATGAAACAAGAGTGGAATTCCTCTCCCTAATACTTTCATTACCATGTGAGCTCATTGAAGACCTGGGGTACGTGCTGTTGTACCTGGACTCTTCATCACTGTCTATTTCAATATATTTCCTCTTTTGGGCTTTCCCAGGGGCAGCATCAAGTTCTTTCCTCATTTGGGCCAGCCGGATTTTCTGGAAGTCTTCCTGAGTTAAAACTCGGCTGGTGCTGACAGCTGCAGCTTTGGCTTTCCGCTCCTCCTCGGGCATGCTGTTCAGCTTCCTGGACTTTAAGGACACAACAAAGGCTTTATGTTTACTAGCTCAGGTGAGAGTTTAATCCCAAAAAGGCCCTGCGTAAATTAGTAAACATTGGAGTGATGCACTGATGGAAAGACATTCTGAGACTTACGATTTCTTGCTGTTCTTCATCGGAAGAGTGGTGCACGTCAATCCACTCACCGTCGTCATCTTCCTCCTCAGTGAGACTGGCACTCTCCCACCCATCTGTGTGAGGCAGCACACTGTTAGTCTGCCACTTTATGTTGAGTACTCATGGTAAGTGGAGATAAATGAGGTGAAAGAAAAGTAAGGGTGTGGACCTCAAATAGATGTTCTACAAAACAAGAACTGAGCAGTATTTATTGTCAAATAAGCCACATCAATTGAATTAATTGAAGGAATGGGAAATAAGCACTGACCAAGTATCTACCCTAAGCCAAAACTTTACTTTCTTGAACCCTCACACCTCAACAGAAGAGGAACGGATTCTCGAGTTAAGTAACCTGTCCTAAGCCAGTCAGAAAATGCAATGTACACTGAAATCCTGAAAATCATGTCTGACTCCAGAGGCCATGTTCTTTCCACCAAACCATGTATATCAAAACTGCAGTTATCTTGGCTACACAGCAAGTATTTAACTCCTCTAAGCAGTTTAATAAATGTTTGTAGAAACTAGTTAAAAACAGTCATTCAGAGAACTGAGGTGGAAGATTTTGGATGTTGAAAAACCTTGCAGCCCTGGCCAGTGTGGCTCAGTTAATTAAGCATTGTCCCATGCACTGAGAGGTGGCTAATTCAATTCCCAGTCAGGGCACAGGCCCGGGTTTTGAGCTTGATCCCTAGTAGGGGTCATGAAGGAGGCAGCTGATGGGTGTTTCTCTCTCATCAATGTTTCTCTTTCTCTCCCTCTCCCTTTTTTTCACGCTAAAAACAATCAATAAAAACACATTTAAAACAAAACAAAATAAAAAACAATTTGTGGACACCACAATAAAGTGGTATTAGAGTTCTTAATGGAGCCACCACAGAAAGATTTCAAAATCAGATACTTGTAATTTCGGTGGTTCCCTGTGTTCTATAATACAGTGTCCCAGCCCTTTGGTATGGCACATACACAACCAGTCACGAGAAGGTCCCAACTCAGTCTCTAGTCTACTACCTGGCTATATCCCACTTTATATTCTATACTATAATAGTTTCCCAAATCCTTCAGGATTTTGCTTACAGTTTGCCTGGAAAGTCTCCATTGTTCTACCATTCCTCACTTATAATTCAAAATATGGTTCGTGGGTCACCATCTCGAGGCCTTTTTAAAACCTATGAGGTGGACCTGACCTCTCTCTCTCCTGCCCTTATGTCCCACTCCAATCATAAATCCTATTAATACTTCATTCTCAGCTCTTTATGAAAGGCCCTCAGGGCAGAAACCATATTATTTATCTTTGTGTTGACACTGGCCATTCCACAGCTAATGCTTAAGAAACCTTTGTTGACATCATGCATGAATGAATAGGAAGAAGACTTGGCTTAAGCAACCAACGTAATAAAGGCTAACCCTAGAAGTCAGAATGGAGTTCCTCAAGCATTCTTCAACAAATTCAACAAGCATTCTCTTTCAGCAGAAGAATCTTAGAAGATTGCTAAGGTCTAATAAATACCTCAACATTTTTTTCCAGGCAACAAACAAAAACACATTATCTTTCCCAAGGGACCAGCATACCTCTGATAAGGGGCAGCCACCTGAAGGACATGAAAAGGTATCTCCTACACTGGAATGTAAGTTCCCTAAAATTGGGAACCATGCTCATTTGATCCCCAATGCTTGTTACAGTGACTGGTATGTAGTCATTGCTCAATAAATATCTGCTGAATGAATGTTCAAACAACATAAGGATTTCAAGGTCAATACAGATACAGAAGTGATTATATCCCGAATAATGGTGAAATAAAAATGAACCTTCGTCATTGTCAACATGCTCTTCTTCTTTTTCAACTTCCAGAATTTCTGCTCCCGGAATGTAATCTTTAGCATCTAATTCTCCATATTCTTGTACTCTTGCCTCTACAGAGGCCTCTGTAGGTTTACCCTAGAGGTAAGGAAATTGTTTTTAACATGGTCCTTAGATTGTAAAACATTATTCATGAAAAGGATTCTCTAGAATTATGAATTTAGAAGGGAGAATCACAAAAAATGAAATAATCAAATGACAAAAAAACAGTCAAAGTAAATCCCTGAGCCAGAACTCTGTCCACTATTTTCCTGCTCTCTTCTGATCCAGATCGGAAAACTGGAAGTTATTAGAGAATAACCATTCCAATTCTTAAGTCTTGAGATCACCAAGACTCTGTCACATACATACATCTCTCTCCCCTCCCAACTCCAAAGAGGTGGTATCTGCCTGCGGATTGTCCATTCAATACTGACATCAGCTACTGACTGATCTTTGATATTCCAATTAGTTAATGATGTCAAAAGCTTTTAAGGTGAAACAGTCTGACTAATCTTTAAGACTCAGTCATCATCAAAGCACATGTCAACTACAGAATATTTAAGGCAATGGTTTTCAATCAAATGTATTCTGAGCTTAAAGAATAAAACTATGGTCCTGGCCAGTATGGCTAAGCGGTTAGAGCATTGGCCCACGGACAAAAGAGTCCCAGATTCGGTTCCCGCTAGGGGCACATACCTCGGTTGCAGTTTGTCCCTTGCCTTGGTTGGGGTCATGTGAGTGGCAACCACTCGATGTGTCTCTCTTACATCGATTTTTCTCTCTCTCTTTCTCCCTCTCTCCCTCCCACTCTATCTGAAGATAAATGCAAAAATGTCCTCGGATGAGAATATAAATAAATGAATGAATGAATAAATAAAACTATGCATATCATTAAAACTCATAACATAAGCATCACAAATACTAAAACTCAAATTGTAGGACATTACTCTCATCTTCTGAGACCATAACCTTTAGATCGGCATATGCATGCTTTACCTACCCGGAATTTCTTCTGTAACATCTGTGGATTCAGTGTTCGGAAAAGCTGAATCAAAGTTCTAGCAGACATCATTACATCTGTAAAATCATATCTTTAATTTAGAAACTCCAGAGGAAAGAGTCTATTGAGATTTTTAAAAAATGAATCACTCTATATTCTTTGGTCTACAGAGACTAACATGCAACTTACTCTTATCTTTGTGTGTTTTATACTGAGCCAGGTCTTGGAGAAGTTCTTCAGTCATGGCTAGAGGACATCGAGCTGTTATCTCCTTTATAGCATTGATTCTAGAAAAGCAAAAATGAATTAAAAAACCCAAATGGTGCCCTGGCCGGTTTGGCTCAGCAGTTAAGAGCGTTGGCCTGCAGTCCCGAGAGACCCGGGTTCGGTTCCCGCTAAGGGCATGTACCTCAGTTGCAGTTTGTCCCCGGCCCTGGTTGGTCGTGCGGGTGGCAGCCACTCGATGTGTCCCTTTCACATCGATGTTTCTCTCTCTCTTCCTCTATCCCCCTCCCACTCTACCTGAACAAAAAATAGAAAAATGTCCTCAAGTGAAGATAAAACAAAAAACAAAACAAAAAAACAAAAAAAAAAACCCAAATGGCAATTTCATATGGTTCAACCTAAGAACGTTTCCTAAAAAGACTAAAAAGAATAGAAGTGGGTTTTACAGAGCTTAGGTCTCTAAAACTGCAGCATCGGAGAGAATGTGAGGGTGGGCAGCCTTACAGGGCTTTGTTCCAGATAGCTTACTGCCATTTCCTCTACTAGTGAAATAAGAAACACTATCTTCTTTGTAAAGTAAATAATGGCAGCATTTATTCGCCAGCTCTAAGGGGAGAAGCAACTAGGTCAAATAAGAAAAGCTAAAGATCTTCAGGGTTGTTATCCCAGCTCTTAACATACTGCTTAGTTACCAGGACAGATTAGATAATTATTAAATCAGTGCTTACACTCATTAAGCATTTTTGAGTGAATCAAAAAGTTATTGAACTGTCTAGCGATTAAAGAGTGATTCAATAACAAATCATTTGTTGGAAGACATGAATTCAGGGTAGAGACAGAAGAAAAATGCTTAGATTGCCAAAAAAATCATTCATTTGAAAGAGTAAAGCTAGTAAAAAAACAAAATGTTGATTAGAAAGACAAATATCTTTTCTCTGACTCCCTCCTGAAAATTCTGACTAATAAAATAAAAATATTAAACCTCCTGAGAAGACCAAAGTATACTTTAAACTGCTTTCCAAGAGGCCAGCCACATTGCTAGCTGAAATCTTATATCCTGGTCATGTAAAGCAAATCTACATTATGTTTTAAAGTACATTAAAAACATATCCAGCCCTGGCCAGTTTGGCTCAGCAGTAGAACGTCGGCCTGCGGTCTAGAGAGACGGGGTTTGGTTCCCACTAAGGGCATGTACCTCGGTTGCAGTTTGGTTCCGGCCCTGGTTGGGTCGTGCGGGCGGCAACCACTCAATGTGTTCCTTTCAGGTCGATGTTTCTCTCTCTCTCTCTCTTCCCCTCCCCACTCTATCTGAACAAAAAATGGAAAAATGTCCTCGGGTGAGGATAAAAAAAAAAAACATACCCAGTGCCTCCAGCCATGTTCTACATACCCTACTGTCATGACTTCCCCAGAGTTCTTGTCGGTAACAAAATTGTTGGCCACAGTCATCAGCAATGATTGAATGATCTGAATTGAGAATAAAAGAAAAGTGCTGGTAAAATATCTGTATCTACTCAAACATTTGAGGATGAAGAACAATAGATTATTCATAGTAGAAAAACAGTGTTCCACCTTCAGTTTGGGAATTGAAAGGAAATAACACTGAGGAAGAAAAAATACTCCACTTTGGGTTTTAGTCTTCTTGGCTAACTTCAGATTACATTTTGCTCTCCTTTAAAGTTAGTTTTTTATATAAATTAAAGAAATTGCTTTGACCCAGGAAAATCCAATACAAATACAGTTTCAATCAAAAAAAGGAACTATGAGCTTTGAAAAATAATCACTACAAATTTACTGACATTCTCAACCTTGTCATAAAATCGAGCAATTAAAATCAGAATTCTTAATATAAAGTTTATTTTCTATAATAAATTGGTTTTCAGTTTCTATAACTAAACTTCTGTGTATATCTCCTTAAAAGTTAATGTCGCTTTTACTCACTTGGGGGGTGGGGAGCAGTTATTCCTGTGGGAAAAGCCACGTGATACTTAATAGTAACGCTAATATGCATCATGCACTAGATCCAGACAGAAGGAAGGTTTAAGAGTTCTCACCTCTGGGGGCACTAAGTGATGAGATGCTTGTGCAGCAAACAGAAGGATCTTTGTTACTTCTAAAAATGTAAGAGGTCAGAAAGGTCATAGTTGATTTATTGCTCTACCCTCTGGACTATAAGTGGACTATAGCAAACATGGCAAGGACATTCTGGCCTTAATACTATTGTTGCTTATTCCACAGGGCATACTCAACCCCCCGATATCTGCATGGTTCCCTTGCTTCCTTCAAGTCCCTACTCAATTACTGCCTTATCAAAATGTCTTTCCTAACCACACAATCTAAAAATAGAACCTGCCCCAGCACTCCCTACTGTCCTTATTTTGCTTCTTCTTTCCTCAAAACTCTTGTCTTCACCTGGACATATACACAGCACTCTCTGGATCTCCCTCTAGAATGTAAGATATATGAAGGTAGGGATGTTGCCTTATGTTTACTGTGAAATTCTTCATGTCTAATGCAGTGCCCTGCCTAGAAATCACTCAGTAAGTGAATAAATATAAACATACATATATACATACAGTCTCCCTACAAAGGGCAGTATTTATAAAGAACAAGGCCTTTGGCAAAAGAAACGAGTGAGCTGAATCCTAATTTGTCATTTACTTGCTGAGTAATCTTGGCCTTTTATTTCCCTATACTTAACAGGCCTGGAGAGAGGATTAGATGAGATTATGTATATAAAGCATTTAGCACAGTGCTTGGTTCATGTTAGATTTTCAAAAAATGTTCAATTCCTTCCTAACTTGGTTTAAGTTAGAAAACAAAAGCAACCATCTCTCTTGCGAATACATGTGAGGGCAATGAGAACAGTAAGATAAAATCCTAATATCTATTACCAAATCATAGAAAAAGGTCAAACTTCTATTTTAGAATTTTCCACATAAGAATTTATGGCATTACAGTCATCTCATCTCATCTGCAGGGGATACATTTCAAGACCCCTAGTAGATCCTGAAACCTCATATAGTACCTGACCCTGTTTATAGACTGTTTTTCCCTACATACAGCTAACCCTTAAACAACATGGGTTTGAACTTCATGGGTACACTTACATGTGGACTTTTTTCAATAAATACAATAAATGTATTTTCTCTTCTTTATTATTTTTTATTTTTTACTTTAGTTTTTATTGGGATTCAAACTTCTTTTTTCCCTGTAAGTTTTTCAATGTAGTGATCTTATTTGTAAATCAAAAAGAATAAAGGCATACAAGTAAAGCAAAGATAACATTTCTATTTGATGTCTTTAAACCCCTTTCCTTTAAGACCAAGAAGAACATGCCTGGTTTTTCTGTCTTATTTCCTTCCTTTCCTCCACCCTTCTTTTCTTAAGTTTATGTCTGAGTTATCAAGTATCACCTGGTTACACTGCCATGGGGTTTAGGTTGGTAGTTTCAGGGACACCATCGTATGTTTAGTAGATACTATAGATTTTCTCACATCCCGGGTGCAGCGAGATTGGAGATAATGTGAATTAAAAGGGAAGAATCCTTCCATTCTGGAAGGGACCTTGGCCAAAGCCCATCCTACACAGGTGGAGGATGAAGGGAGAGCCACCTCCTCCACCTTCCTTATACTTTTCTTTTTCAAATTATTGATTCTATTACATATATCCCCCATTCCCACCCCACCTTTGCCTGCCTCCACCCTGCCCCCGCCCTCCACAGGCCTTCACCACATTATTGTCTGTGTCCATGACCTATGTCTATATATTCTTTGGTTTATTTCTTCCTCCCCTCCACACCTCTGAGATTCATCAGTCTTTTTCTTAATAACACTGCCTTTTCTCTAGCTTACTTTATGTAAGAATAAAATATATAATACAGCCCTGGCCACTTTGGCTCAGCAGTTAGAGCATTACCAAAAGGTTGTGGGTTCAATTCTGGTCAAGGGGACGCACCTGGGTTGCAGGTTTGATCCCCAAACCCAGTTGGGATCGTGCAGGAAGCAACAACTCCAGAACAAAAAATTCTGGATTGTCATTTTAACTCCAAGGCTACCAAAGGGACATGGCAAGTAGGAGGCTTACCTCTTTGGTGGGGCTGCAAAAACCTTTGCACAAAGGGATAGAAGTTGAAGAGAAAAAGCTGTGGGGGGGAAATGCAGACTTTAATGTTTATGTAATTAAAGCTATAGGTTCGTTTTTCCAAATGCAATTATATCACCAAGTTCAAATCTGAATAGTATCTAGTATAATCTGATCACACACACACACACACACACACACACACACACACACACACAAAACCCTCCCACACAATTCTTTTTTTATTATTAGATGCAAGACCAACCACTTTGAAGTAATTACTCTGAGCTCTATTTAGAGAAAAAACACTATCACTCTGGAGTCTACCTAATCAAGGTGATATGGGTCAAGTTATCAAAGTAAATGCAATTTTTAAAACTGATTTGAGACCGGGGGGCGGGGGGGGGGGGACACACATAGATCAGTTGTTCTCCGACAGGGATTGAGCCTGCCACTTTTTGGTGTACAAGATAACACTCCAACCAATGGAGTCACACCATTCAGGGCAAACAATACCAATTTTCAACTTCAAGAAGAGAAACTTTGGAGATGGACTGGACTTTATCAAAATTCATTATTCGAGAACAAATTAATTTTTTTCTATTTTAGCCACAGAGCAAAACCATGGCCAGTGAAGTAACAAGGAAGGCTTGGGTTCAATAGAAGGATGGATGTTCAATTGTAGTCAGTTGTAAAACTCAGGTATCATTTCTACCAAACTATGCTTAAATTATAAGTTACTTATGCTTTCTTATCAAGCTCAAATTCAGGTTGGGCATAAAATTACCATACAAATACATCAAGAATTGACTTGGTAATCCTGCTTTAGGTCTGTACAATGGAGAAAAAGCAATTTATTCGCCAAAATATTGTTTTTCTTAGAGAAAGGGAATGAGTACTTTCACTCATGTATACTTTCATTTTTTAGTTAATATATGTCTAAACTGTTTGATTTTCAATAAATAAGCCAAACCTGTTTTCTTTCTTAATTACAATTTTTTTCAAAGAAAGCAACATATTCAATGATTTTCAGAACAGCAGCACTAGTCCCAAGAGCAAAATGATAATGGTCATTTTTTTATGGCCTAAATTTTTTGGAATCTCTTCTATAATGGCATTGGTCCAAGAGTATGTGTGAAGTTTCCTTAAGTATACACAATATATATACATTACACCACCAAGGAGCTCTTGCAAGCTAATTTAATATAAAATAAATGAGCACAAAATTTGGCTTTGCAAACATGACAATCTCCCACTAGAGTGGTCTGGAAGTCAGGAAAGCTATGAAGAAATAAACAAACTGCAAAATATAGTAATAGTTGATAAAAATATGTAGGTTATGTTGGCTCAGAAAAATGTATATGTGAAATAAAGTTGAATAAAAGGAAATTAGAAAAATAGAACACAAAATAGTCTGCCCATAAACTAAACATACATACAATTTAATATCCATACTAAAAAACAATAAAAACAGTTATTTTCAGAGTATCTCTAAATTGTAAGAAGTTAAATGTTTTGGGGTGGGGAGGTAAAATTAAGCCACTCCTCTACCTTAGTGGATTTATTTTTACAAAGTATAATTCTGTTTCTAATATGTACCTCGTGAATTCCCACCAATCTGGAAATGAGGTTCATGAGCATCATCTTCACTTCAAACCTCTCCTTGGAGCTCTCTAGCTGCTTTAGTAGTTTTTCTGCAAAATCTAGAAGAGAGTAGCAGAGAAGTACACTGTGGGTCCATTGTCTGTACAGCATTATCTAACAGATGTAGAGGAAGGCAGTAGTTAGATCAGTGACTGGTATGACTGTGCCTGAAATCACGCCACTGAACCAGGATGGTAAAAGCAGCAGTATAACAGAAGGTAAAAAGATTCACACACAGGTCAATAGTTTCAATAGTGACCAAAATCAAGTCTTAAGGATTTCTAAGATTTTCAGCATTATGTTGAGTGACTGTTTAATAGTTGCGCTATTCAACAATTTTTCTGCAACTTCAGCTTCTCAACATGTGGTCACAGACCACCAGCAGCTGGTCCACATGATAGGTTATTAGAAATACAGAATCTCAGGCCCCACCCCAGACCTACTGAATCAATCAGCACTTTAACAGCATCCCCAGGTGATTCATATGTACCTTAAAGTTTGAGAAACTCTGACCTAGAGAAAGGGCCAGCAAACAATGCTGTATGTTAAGGCACCCAGAGCATTTAAGTTCCAATTTGAGAACTGGTGTTCTAGAACATCATTCCCCAAACTTTTGGTTTCCACAGGTCAGTTTTAAAAAATACGACCAACAAAAAGACTGTCAATTTTTCATTTGATCAAGCACAATGCCCTACCATTATTGTGTTGTTAAAGATAAAAATTTCAGAGAGAGCTGTTCTTCCACAATTTTCTTATTTTGCTGTGCGCTGAGAATCATTGCTTCGGAACATAATTTTCTAGGCTACAACCAACTAGTAACAACTAAGTATTTACTGATTGTCTAATGAGCGTCAGGGATCTTATATTCCCTGGTAACTCGGAAGGTAAGAAACTAAAAAGGCAGAGATCAGGCCAACAATGAGTTTGGGAAGTCATAATTATAGTACCTTGGGGATCATGAATCAAATGAATAGCTGAAAAGTTAAACACCTCTGGTTTTTTCTTCTTCTTTTGTTTCTGAAAGGGAGAGGAAAAATATTTACTTTCTGAATTACAGTAATGAGGCTCTTCGCTTAAATGTGCTAATGTGCTTTTTAAAAGCTGTTATCAACCCTGGCAGGTTTGGCTCAGCAGTTAGAGCATCGGCCTGAGGACCACAGAGTCTTGGGTTTGATTCTGGTCAAGGGCACATGTCTTAGTTATGGTTCAGTCCCCAGCCCTGGTTGGGGTAGTGCGGGAGGCAGCCCAGCCGCTGATGTGTCTCTCTTGCATCATTGTTTCTCTTTCTCTCCCCCTCCCTCCCACTCTATTTGAAGATTAACTGGAAAGATATCCTTGGGTGAGGATTTAAAAAATAATAAATCAATAAATTAAAGCTGTTATCAAGTCCGCCACACTATTTAAAAAAACAACAACTTTGTTCCAGAAACCTTTCTTTCATAGAAGTACAGATGGTTTTAGTCTTTTAAGATTCACCTATTAGTACCCGTAAGACTTAAAGGAATTTCGCAATATAAAATTAAACCATATAATGGCCAAATTAATGATTCCTGGAATAATCTTTACAAAATATAAAATGTACTTTATTCGTGTACTCTTCTGAGAAGACATGCCTACCAAAGATCTCTGAATACAGGTCATCTCAATCATAACAAGTGAAAAGTAAATTTAATCAAATTAATTCAAGTCATAGATTTTGCTAGAGCTGAAAATATTCATCTAAAAATTAGTGCGTAAAAATTCATTACATATGTCTAAGTCTTTCAAAAATATGATTTCTTTATTTCAAATTTTTTTTTTATCCTCCCCCGAGGACATCTTTTTTTGATATTTTGTTCAGAAACAGTGGGAGGGAGGGAGAGAGAGAGAAACATCGATGTGAAAGGGACACATCGAGTGGTCGCCACCCACATGACCCAACCAGGGCCGAGGACAAACTGCAACCTAGGTATGTGCCCTTAGCGGGAACCGAACCTGGGTCTCTCCAGACTGCAGGCCAATGCCCTAACCACTGAGCCAAACAGGCCAGGGCTATTTCAAATTCTTAAAAGCTTTTGCTGAAAACCTTTCCTATATTCTAATGATTCCTACCCTCATTTCCCAGGTACAAGTCTCACCTTGAGCACTTTCATAGCCTTTTCCAACCTTTTCTTGTGTTTGGAGCTTTTCTTCCCTGTGGCATACTGCACCAGCAGGTCTCTTGCTGTTGGTCCTTCATCCTAAAAAAAAAAAAAAAAAAAAAAACTACTTTGTATAACTGTAAATAAGGAAAATCTACATAGAAGCAAAGAGTAATCCTTTCAACCATTTCCTTGTACTTACACTCTTTGAACATAGCTATTAAAATGGAACATGACTTCTAAAATTCAATAAAAAATATTTTCCCATGTGTACTAACAGGTACACACAAAGATTTTTATCTTTGTATTTTCACTTTAATTTTTATTTAAGTATAATATATTGACAGAATGCAGCATTGTTTTTATTTGAAAAAAGAAATTGGAAGTAAATATTCATGAACAGAAAAATGTTTAAACTATAATATATTCATATTCAGAAATAACATCTGGAGGTTAAAAATCATATGGTGGATCTACATGTACTAACAAAAAAGATCTAAATGCAAGCCCGGCCGGTGTGGCTCAGTGACTGAGCATTGACCCTGCACCAAGAGGTCGCCGGTTCGATTCCCGGTCAGGGCACATGCCCAGGTTGTGAGCCCGATCCCCAGTGGGGGTCGTGCAGGAGGCGGCTGATCGATGTTCTCTCTCTCTCCCTTCCTGTCTCTAAAATCACTAAAGAAAAAAAAAGTTTAAAAACCTGCACCAAAATCTAAATGCATTAGTATATCAATATGTATCAACAGAAAGAAAACATGTTGCACAGTAATATGTGTATTATTTACACATATTTTTTTTAAAACCCACTAGCAACCTGGCTGGTGTGGTTCAGTGGACTAAGCATTCTCCCATGGACTGAGAGGTTCTGGTACGATTCTTGGTCAGGGCACATGCCTGGGTTTCGGACTCAATTCCCAGTAGGGGGTGTGCAGGAGGCAGCCGATAGATGTTTTTCTCTCACATCGATGTTTCTATCTCTCTCTCCCTTCCTCTCTAAAAAAAAAAAATAAAAATGTATATAAAAAATAAGAATAAAAACCCACTACACATATAAGATAATATATACACACCTACATATATAAATACAAGGGAAAACAAAATGGTTATCTGTGAAGAAGAAACTGGGAAGTGGAAATAAAACAGTGTCAAGAAAACTTCTATTTTATCTACAGTATCTGAAACTTTTTATAATAAAAATGTGTTGTTCACAGACTACTTTATAAGATAATAGCAATATGAATTACAAGATATTATTACATATTCCAATATTATCAAAATGCTAAAATGGAAAACTTTTTTCTTATTTTAATAAAAAATGTTTTAATAAAGAAAATTTCATAACATCATATATTTTGATTTTCCCTTTTAAAGGTGCCAAGATATTACTACCCTCCATTTCCCCACTCTGAACTTCTACGATGTCAACACTCACCTAAAAATATGTTGGAAGCAATTTTCATTCTAGGTTTCTATAGTGAGATGTAGGTGTTGCTTCAGAACTAAGAACAAGGCTGAATGAATCTAAGTTTTATTAGTTACCTAACCAATCTTACTGAAGTTAAGTGACAAATTCTAAACACTAAAATCTCAGCATGGCAGAACTCAATCAAGGTTAAGTTTCTTTCTAACTTAAGCAGTCATGTACTTTATAATTTGTACTCACAGCAATAATGAAATCTCATAATCTGTAAAATTCAGAAGCATCTTAAACTAACCTCAGATTCTGAGTCACTGTCCTGTTTCTCCTCTTCATCTTTCCCAAGGAAGAATGTCAAAGCAGCAACTAATATCTAAAAACAAAGTCAATTATTCATCCCATCTTATAACAAAGAATAAATACTTCTATCTATACCTTATACATGTGTACATACTAAGAAATAAGTAAAAAGAAAATCACTTGTCCTAAAGAATATATAATTTAAAAAACCTTAGATAAAAACATCTAGGCTCCACACAGTTATCCTTCAAATAGGCTGTCAAGGATTTCCATGCCCTATCCAGTAGTTCAGTTGGTTGGAGCATCAACCTGATACGCCAAAGTTACGGGTTTGATCCCTGGTCAGGGCACGTACATGAATCAACCAATGAATGCATAAATAAGTGGAACAATAAATCGATGTTCCTCTCACTCACTAAAAAAAATAAATGAATAAATAAGAATTTCCACATCTCCCACAAAAAAGTGACATTACAACCCCAGAAAATCAAACACAGCCTTAAATTTCTTTCAGCTGTATCTGAGCCCAATAAAAAAATAGTCAAGAATTATAGGAGGAAAAAAACAAAACATAAAATAAATTCTGAGGCTATTGTTTAATACATAGCATTTAAAAAACTCATGATATGTAGAACTGTGCACCAGCCAGTGTAACCCCAATAAATTCAATAATGTGGGGGGGGGGGGGACTTATGATAGCCCCGCCAGTTTGGCTCAGGAGTTAAAAGCGTGGGCCCGCAGACCAGAGGCCCGGGAGGTTTGGTTCCTGCTGGGGGCACGTACCTCAGTTGCAGTTTGTCCACGGCCCCAGTTGGAGTCGAGTGGGTGGCAACCACTCGATGTGTCTCTCTCTCATCAATGTGTGTCTCTCTCTCGTCCCTCCTTTCTCCCTCCTACTCTATCTGAAGATAAATGCAAAAATGTCCTCAGGTGAGGATACCAAAAAAAAAAGAACTTATGATAATTTTGTTCTGCTCCTCTAAAGCACAGGCTGATGAACCAGGGAAGTAGCCTAAACAGAGAGTGAGCATCAGTGACATGAACTGCACATTCACATACTCGCTCTTCCTCATATGCCATCTCCTTTACGCTGTCTGGAGAAGCAGACCACACGCAGACAGTGCCTTCACACAGCCCTACAGACACTCACCTTGGTGACCTTAGAGAAACATGCAGTTGTGATCACGTTGACAGTTTTGGCATCATTCCTGGGGGAAGACAAATAAATGTTTTAAAGTAAATTTTCAGGCCCTGGCCAGTTTGGCTCAGCGGTTAGAGCGTCGGCCTGCGGTCCGGAGAGACCCGGGTTCGGTTCCCGCTAAGGGCACGTACTTCAGTTGCAGTTTGTCCCCAGCCCTGGTTGGTTGTGCGGGTGGCAGCCACTCGATGTGTCCCTTCATGTCGATGTTTCTCTCTCTCTCTCCCTTCCTCTCTCTCCTTCCCACTCTATCTGTACAAAAAATGGAGAAATATCCTCGCGTGAGGAAAAAAATAAATAAATAAAGTAAATTTTCAGTCTATTGTATTTGACAGCACAGATAATGGCACAAAATAAACAATGTAAAAAATATTTCTGACATGTTAAAATAGCTGTAATATTTTAAAAAGTCATGGGTTGCTAAATGGTCGACCACAGTTTGACTATTTAATTTAATTAAGTTAATATTAAGCAGCCATTAAGTTACACTTATGGCCCTGGCCAGTTTGGCTCAGCAGTTAGAGCGTCAGCCCGCAGACCCACGAGTCCCAGGTTCAGTTCCTGCTGAGGGCACGTACCTCAGTTGCAGTTTGTCCCCGACCCCGGTTGGGGTTGTGTTGGTGGCAACCACTCGATGTGTCTCTCTCGCACCGGTGTTTCTCTCTCTTCCTCCCTCTCTCCCTCCTGCTCTATGTAAAGATAAATGTAAAAATGTCCTCAGGTGAGGATAAAAAGAAAGATGCATTTATGGCCCTGGCCTGGTAGTTCAATTGGTTAAAGTGTCATCCTGATACAGCAAGGTTGTGAGTTAGATCCCTGGTCAGGGCACATAAGAATCAACCAATGAGCCCTGGCCGATTTGGCTCAGGGGTCAGAGTGTCGGCCTGCGGTCCGGAGAGACCCGGGTTTGGTTCCAGCTAAGGGCACATACTTCGGTTGCAGTTTGTCCCCAGCCCTGGTTGGGTCATGTGGGTGGCGACCACTCGATGTGTCCCTTTCACGTCGATGTTTCTCTCTCCCTCTCTCCCTCCCACTCTATCTGAACAAAATATTGAAAAATGGCCTCGGGTGAGGATAGGGGAAAAAAAAGAATCAACCAATGAGAGTACAGAAAGTGGAACAACAAATCAATGTTTCACTTTCTCTCTCTCTTTCTCTTTCTCTCTCTCTAAAAAAAAAGATGCACTTATGAAGAATTTTAATGACATAGGAACCTACTAAAGAGGTTTTTACAAATAAAAAACACAGAATAAAAAACTATTAATATAGCAAAAATCTAACTGTAAAAATTCATTTTAAAGAAAACACAGGAGGAATTATCATAAACTACTAACAGAGACTGTCTCTGGGTGGTGAGACTATCAATAGCATTTTTCTTTTTCTTTTTTTTTAATCCTCACTCAAGGATACTTTTCTATTTATCTTCAGATAGCATGGGAGGGAGAGAAACATCGTCGTGACAGGGACACATCGAGTGTTTGCCTCCCACACGACCTGGACCAGGGCCGGGAACAAACCGCAACCGAGGTACGTGCCCTTGGCCAGAATTGAACATGAGACTCACTGGTCCACAGGCCGACACTCTACTGCTGAGCCAAACAAACCAGGGCTATCAAACAGCATTTTAAAAAAACTTTTCTAGCCTCTCCAAATTTTCTGTTGCAATGAATTTTTACTACTTTTATATATAGTTAAATAAATAAATAGGTTGGGCCACTGTGGCTCAATAGTTGAGCATTGACCCATGCACCAAGAGGTCGCTGGTTTCATTCCCGGTTAGGGCACATGCCCAGGTTGTGGGTCTAATCCCCAGTGGGGGGGCATGCAGGAGGCAGCCAATCAATGTTCTTGCTCATCAATGTTTCTACCTCTCTCTCCCTCTCCCTTCCTCTCTCTAAAATCAATAAAGGAAAAAAATGTAAATAAATAAATAGGGAAAGCAAAAGACATGAGTTGGAGGCATTATACCAACACATCAAAGTTCATAAATCATTAATATTTTACAAAAATAGAATAAATTGACTTGAAAACTGTCAGAATGGCAAAGTAGAAAGAGCACAGATTGCAGAGTCAGACAGATCTGGGTCTGAATTTAAGCTCTGCCCTTTATTAGCTACTAACCTTAAGCTCTATGAACTACAGTTTCAATACCTATCAAGTGAGAATAATTCCAGATAAGCTGCATTACTTTGTTTAGAAGGGTGAACAAGTAACATAAAATGTATGTGCTCAACAAATGGTAGCCAGTGTTGTTGTTAGCCATCTGTATGGCCTCTCCATTTTTACTTCCAATTGAATCTATGAGAGAGGTATATTAAAGAGCTCAAGACCAAGAAAAATAATTGTGTTTGTGCTCTGTAGCAATTACAAATGAACAAAAGATTCTATTTCTCCAGAGACAAACACATATGTATTACCAGATGTTTCTTCTGTACAGCTCAATCATCACATCCAAGGATATCTTGGCTGCAGTTGCATTGCTGTCTCTTAGCATGGTGTACATAAAATTCTGCAACACCTAAAGAGAGAGAGAAGGAAGCCTTAGTACACTGATGGTACAATGCTGCAACATGGAAAACAGAAGGGTACTTACTACATTGACTTTATTGTTCTTGTGTTTTGCATTTATATTCTTGATATCAGTCACAATATGCGTATATAAAGTCTGAGGAAAAGAAACAAAAACATATATATTAACCAACATTTCAAACATTGTTTAATTTGGAGAAAAGTACAAATGTACAGGAGGATTTAATATTATCTACTTTTTATTTTATCACAAAAGAGACCAAAAACAAAACAAAAAGCAGCAGTGCCCTGGCTGGTTTGGCTCAGCAGTTAGAGCATCAGCTCGTGGACCAATCTCGGGTTCGATTCTGGTCAAGGGTACGTACCTCAGTTGTCCCTGGCCCTGGTTGGGTCATGCGGGAGGCAACCAGTCAATCATGTCAATGTTTCTCTCTCTCTCCCCCCTTTCTACTCTATCTGATGATAAATGGGAAAATATCCTCAGGTGAGGATTTTTTAAAAAAGCAGCAGCTAAAATGTAAAAGAAAAGCTGCTGTGAAAAAGTTAAACATGGAGTTACCATATAATCCAATAATTCCACTCTTAGTTATATACCCAAGAGAAAGTAAAACATAGTTTCATACCAATGTTCACATAAACATTCATAGCAGCATTATTCATAATAGTCAAAAAGTGAAAACAACCCAAATGCCCAATAACTAATTAATGAATTTTTTAAAAAGTGGTAAAACCACCCTGGCCAATCTGGCTCAGTGGTTGGAGCGTCCGCCTGCGGACCAGAGAGTCCCAGCTTCGGTTCCCGCTGGGGGGCATGTACCTCAGTTGCAGTTTATCCTCCACCCGGGCTGAAGTCGTGTGGATGGCAACCACTTGATGTGTCTCTCTCACGTCGATGTTTCTCTCTCTTTCTTCCTCCTTCTCTCCCTCCTGCTCTATCTGAAGATAAATGCAAGACTGTCCTCGGGTGAGGATTAAAAAAAAAAAAAAAAAGTGGTATAACCATATAATGGAATGGCACCAAAAAGGAATGAAGAAATGCTGACACATGCTACAACGTGGATAAACCTTGAAAACATAAGAAATCAGACACAGCCCTGGCCGGTTTGGCTCAGCGGTTAGAGTGTCGGCTTGCAGTCCTGAGAGACCCGGGTTCGGTTCCCGCTAAGGGCGCGTACCTCGGTTGCAGTTTGTCCCCGGCCCTGGTCGGTTGTGCTGGTGGCAACCACTCGATGTGTCCCTTCACATCGATGTTTCTCTCTCTCTGTTCCTCTCTCTCTCTCCCACTCTACCTGAACAAAAAATGGAAAAATGTCCTCGGATGAGGATAAAAAAAAAAAAAAACAAAAAAAAACATAAAAAGAAATCAGACACAAAAAAACTACATACTGTATGAGTCTATTTATATGAAATACCCAGAGTAGGCAAATCTATAAAGACCAAAAATAGAAAAGTGGTTGCCTAGGGCTGGGAGAGATGGGGTGATGAGGAATGATTGCTAATGGGAATAGGGTTTCTTTTGAGGGTGATAAAAATGTTCTAAAATTGATTTGATACTTGCAAACTCTGTGAATATACTAAAAACCACTGAATTGTACACTTTAAACGGATGAATTGTGTGTGAGTTATATCTCAATAAAATCGTCTTTTCAAAAAAAGAAGAGTTGCTCCATTTACTGAACCCCTAACTCCATGCAAGATTATGTTGGCAATACAAGTATCATTTAGTGCTCAAGATACACTCCCATGGACAATTTTTATCCCACAAGTTAGACCAAGCAGTACAATTGCTAAAATGAAATGGTGGCAGTCTCTAAACACTTTGAAAAAAATTAAGTTAATGAATGTGAAGTTAAGTTCTTTCTTAAATTTCTTTCATAAACCTTCAGCTTCTGATATTACTTATATAAACAAATACAAAGTAATAAAAAAGCAGTAATAACAAAAAATTTAGTTTCTTGGGGGCTAAGGTGAAGCAGTTATAGCCATGAGTGGACAGTCCACGCTCTGATTTAGTCAGTTAGTGTAGTGACAAAGGACTTGGGTTCTGGAGCCAGAATGCCTGGGTTTATACTTCTGCTCACCACTCAGAATCTGTGTGACTCTGGGCATGTTACTCTACCTCAGCCTTTTCATCTGTAAAATACTACTACTACTACTACTACTACTACTACTACTACTTCTACTACTACTACACCTTATGTCATTTTGTGAATAAACAAATAAATACTTTAAAAGCTCTGAGAAAGGTACCTGGCAAAAAGTAAGCAAACATTTGGCTATTATTACCATACTTCATCCAATAATGTGAAGCATCAAGAATTCACTTTACAAGTTTCATGCAGGAAAAAAATGATATATGAAAAAAAAGCAATTTTGTTCTTTACCTTTCGCAGAAGCTTATCATGGCAACGCAGAAGTTCAAAGAAGAGTTCTAGCAAACTTGAGGGACTGATGAGATTCTTATTTCTCAGCAAGATCAAAGCTTTGCAAAATGTCTCAGGAAGAAAAAGAAAACATACTATAAAACAATGTAAAATTAAGATAAGAAAATAGACCATGTATATCCCAAAAGAGTGTAATATCTCCTACTAACCAGGCATTATTCTAGGCATCAGAACAGATAGTCTCTGCCCTCATGGACCTTACACACTGGGGGTGCAGCAGAAGAGAGGACAGATAAGAAAGTAAGCACATAAACAGGAGTATCTCAGTAAGTGTCACAAAGGAAGTAAAACAAGGCAATATAATTGATACATTGTGGCTACTTCACACAGGGAGAACAAACTGCAACACAAAGAAGGACCCACCTTAAGGGAAAGGGGCTGGGTTTTCATGCCACTGGGTTGGTCAGGTACTAGCAAGGGCAACTTCCCAGGTGCTAGGTCTCCCATTTAGCTAAGAACAATGCTCCAGAAATAGCGTAGCTGGGGGTCATTAGGTAGGGGAAATGGGTGCACTGGATTGGAAAAAGGGATCTCTTGCCCAGGACCCAATGTCAACCACTAAAGTGACCATATTTACACATCCAAACTGGCTATTTAATAGACAAATTTATTAAATTAAGCACTGTATAAACCATAAATTGTAATTAAAGTTCTTCATGTGTGTGAGATTTGAATGACCAGAGTGATATCACCTATTCAAAAGAGGGAAAAGAACATACTGGGAGGGTTAGCATGCTGGAAGAACAAAAAGATAAAAAAGAGGAGTATAGTAGAAAAGATGATGAGATTAATACACACACACACACACACACACACACACAGAGGCAGGAAGCAAATGATGTAGGAATTTACAGGCCATGAAAATACATTTGAGTTTAATTCTAAGTATAAAAAGAAGCCACAGAAGAATTTTAAGTAAGGAGCGACACATTCTGTTTTACAATTTAAAAAGATGTTTAGTTGAGAGGCTACTTTCATTTAAACACATATTACATGCATACACACGAACACAGCACAAGTTATCAATCCAAATCCAAACGCTACCATTCGAAGATCTGGATCCAAGACAGTGTGATTGTAGGAGAGAAGATCTTTCAACTCTTGAGGAAAGTTACTTAAATGTTCTGGGTAGCAGTGACCAATCTGTAACAAAACAAAGACTCTCCTGAAGTCTCTCTTTCTCGCCTTTTATTCATATGCATGTATTTCAGATATTCCGCAAAAGGAGGGTAAAGGCTATTTCATAAAGGTAGATGGTTCCAAATCATGTCTTTTTCTTCTACATGTCAATTTCTCTGATCTTTTTCATATTTCCTCTTAATTAAAATATGTGCAATACGATTTAGAATCTGATTTTATAATGAATTTGAAGAAAACAAATAGTTTGAACGTTTTGCCTTGGGTGGTTCTATGAAAAGTTCCAGCAAAATCTTCTAATTCACCACACAGAGAAAATAAAGTTTGCAAAAAGGGAAAAATTTTTTAAATTTTTTTCTTTAAATGAAACCCTGGCCATTTGGCTCTGCGGTTAGAGCGTCGGCCCACAGACCAATGAGTTGTGGGTTCGATTCCAGTCAAGGGCACATACCTCAGTTGTGATTCGTTCCTGGCCCTGGTTGGGGTCGTGCAGGAGGCAGCCACTCGATGTGTCCCTTTCACGTCAATGTTTCTCTCTCTCTCTTCTTCTTTTCCCCTCCCACTCTATCTGAACAAAAATGGAAAAATGTCCTCAGGTGAGAATAAAAAAATAAAAATAAATAAATAAATGAAGCTTTTATTCTCGAATGGAATGATGTTGGCTATTACTGGAAAAATATTCTACAAACTGTAAAACTCGTCTTTGTTTGAAATAATCTTACCTGTGCCATAAACATGACCAGCTCTGCCAGTTCTTTGCTGGGTTTATTTGGTTGTAATCTGAAAATCTCCACATTGGATTTGTAGTGATTATACTGCTGTAGAAACTGTAAAAAAATAAAATTTAAGTTGGTCACCTTTTATTATATGATTTGCTCAGTACAGAATAAAAAATTACTTAGTAAAAGTCTGTGATAGTGGTATGGAGAAAAAGATGTGACAAAAAGTATGTAAAAACACTTTTCCTTAACTGTATTTTCAAAGTAAGTTTTGAAAACTTTGTGCACATCACAGATAAAGACCCTTTCCTTTATCATTAGAAATTTAGGTGGTACAGTGTAAAAAACAGAAGCCAAAAGTCAAAAACTCATATTCTGGCCCTATTCTGACATTTACTATCCAAATGACCCCTTCTACATTGTGTATCTATATGGAGCACTCTTATCAGCGGAAAATACCACGTCAGAAAATGTAAATTATGTATCTCTCAAGAACATGAAGCACTCCAGTCAAAATTCCTTCTTCTACTGATTAAGATTCTGTCCTAGAATTAAAGACAGAATGTGTTAACAGCCAAAAGCAATAGATACACAGAAATAATGATAATAGCTTCCACTTGTTCAGCACTTGCTATGTGCCAAGCTCACGGTGTACATTATCCCATTTAATTATGTTTAATCCTAAAAGGTAATAATCTAATGTTGGAACACCAGACATCAGTTAGTTCTATATATCTACTCTTCATCCCTAAACCACAGCTTTAAGGTGTGTGTGTGTGTGTGTGTGTGTGTGTGTGTGTGTGAAAGAGAGAGAGAGACTATGAAAATGAATATTTCTTAATATCACAAGCTCTAAATGATGTAGTGAACTCCAAATTCATATATCCAATTACTTGTCTGACATCTCTGTTTGGATGTCTATCAGACATTTTAAACTTAGCATGTTAAAAATGTAACTGTTGATTTCCCCAACAAAACTGGTAGGCCTTCAGCTTTGTCTAAGAGTAAGACTTAAGATAGAGACCTGCATATAGTCTCCTACATGCTTCAGATAAGGCCCTCTCTTTCTTGACACCCTACTGCCATTGACAGGAGTGAGGAGAGCAGCCCAGAAGTCAGTTTGCTTCTGGCAAGATCCTTTTCCCACTCCAGCCCAGCCACCACTATCTGCCTTGAGATGATCAGGACATATTCATATCCAGTTTTACGTTCTCCATAGTCCTTACCACTATATGTCTACCATCACTAGAGCATAAGTCCAAGAGAAGAAGGCTCTCATAGCTGTCTTATTTATCATTGTATCCCCAGTGTCTGGAATTATACTGACACACAGTAGGTACAATATGTGTAGATTTGCATATGTATTCGTTAAGTGAATGAAAGCAATTCTCTGAGGTAAGAATTATCTGTTACATATTAAAATGGGCTCAATGATTAATGTCCCCTAGTAACACAACTGGTCAACAGCAGGACCAGGATGTAGAGTTAGTTTTGAAACCAATGCTCTTAAATACAGCACTATACAGATAAAACTATTACTTTGTCAATGGTTGTATATACTGCTCTACACATATTACCATCTTGCCTATTAATTTCTTGTTATCTGTTCCTTACTCTTTATTTTCCTTGGAAAGGCTCTCTATACTCATTGACCTAAACCATTGAAACTGCTATTTGTTAAAAAGGAGTTAATTAAATATTTCTAAGTGACAAGTTGGGGAGGGTGAAAAGGGCAATCTATGAGTAATTGCGTTAGCCATTGAACAAATCACAATCTAGTGAGGAAGAAGCACAAACAATTGCAGCAAATGCCTGTCAGACAAATGGCTGTCTGAAGAACACATCTGACAAATTAATATATCAAAATCACCATTTTCATTTAGTTGCTTCTCAGCTCAAACACCCTCCATTTTCACAATCTGTATCAAGTCACTATACAAAGTCCCTCACAACCTGGACCTAACCTTAATTTTGAACCTCATCTTTTCCGGAAGCAAATGCTGACATCCAGGTCATGCAAGCTTCCGAGGAGGCCGAATCCTGGTTTAACGAGATAAAAGCGCCTGCGTCTGCCCCTTATACTCTGGAACGTCCCCTCCTTCCCAACACAAGAACCCGCAGAGCGCGGGCTCGGACACTGACGTCGGTCGAAAGGATCCTACGAGACGATTCATCAAGTGTTACCAAGTAATTCAAGTTAGTAGCTTCTGAAAAGAAAAGGCAGAGAAAACTACATAGAAGTTGGAGATTGGGGGCGGGCCATTTGTCTTTCCATCTCTGTGAGATCAGAGATAAGCCCTAAAGCAAACGACGTCTTTAAAGGTCCGTGACAGCGAGGTCTGCACAGCAGGTAGAAACATCCAAAGGGACAGCAGAGCCCCAAGAGGTGGAGAACGAACCCTAAAGCATGTCCCTTCCCCAACCCCTTCTCACTTCACGAAAGACTCCAGAACCTAAGAGCAGCACACGCGGCCAGCCGGATCCCAACTCCACTCCACGCCTCCCCAACCCCACTGGTGTGTCCACCAGTCGCGCCTCGGCCTCTAGCGTCGCCAGGGCGCAACCCCACCTCCTCCACGTAGGCCGGCGGGTCCCGCTTGATCAGATTCTGTAACTGCGGCAGGTTGCTGGGCAGCTTGTTGTTGTTTCTGTTGGACATGTTGGCTGCTGACCAGCTCCGCGGCGAAAAAAAAAAATACCTACACCGCTGGCAACTACGAGCGGTGCCAGCAGCGGCTGGGAATCGTGTGTCCCACTACGACCGGAAGCAGCACGTGGGGCGCGCAGCAAGGCTAGACTACGGCAGCCTCGGAGTGTCAAACTTGCTCTGCCGCAATGCTCCGTGGTTGATACGGCGGTTTTATTCCTCGGCCAACCGCTGCTGCTGCCGGTCGTTTCTGCGCTATTCTAAAACGCGAAGTTGTTTTCACACATATTATTTCCCCGACACACTCTTGTGAAACAGATGAGAATTACTAATTTTTTTTTTAAATTCCACAGGCTAAAGTTAGAAGCTAAAAATATCCATGAGGAGTAGTCTATCCTCTAACGAGGGGGAGAAAGAGCAAAGAGAGGTGTAAATTAGTATTTTTGTATAACTTGAAATACCTTATAAGTTTTGTTTGGGATTTTTTCAACTCAATGTCATCCAGCTGTAGACTGGTAAAGAAGTGCTATATTGATTGGCTTAAATGCTAATTAAGCCCGCTGGTGTGGCTGAGCTTGGACCCATGCCAGGAGGTCACCAGTTCGATTCCAGTTAGGGCAGGTGTCCAGGTTGAGGGCTCGATCCCCAGTGGGGGGCATGCAGGAAGCAGCCAATTCATGTTCTTTCTTATGTATGTTTCTGTCTCTCTCCCCCTCTCCCTTCCTCTCTCAAAGCAATAAAGAAAAAAATTTAAAAAGTAAATAAAGTGCAAATTAATTTGTACTTAAATGTCAATCACTGTTAACAATCTTTGTAAGTACTGTTCAACCAGAATTTTAAATTCAGATCCTGGTAATCTGAAGAGAATACATTTAGCCCTGGCCAGTTTTGCCCAGCGGTTGGAGCATCGGCCTGCGGTCCAGAGAATACATTTATACAATGTCACAATGCAAAAATAAATATGTCATGAATGTAGGAGATAGGGGGCTGTTAATATAAAAATACACTTGATCACACCCTAAGCCAGGCACTGTTCCAAGCACTTCATGTGTATTAATTTATATATTCCTCAGAACAGCCTTCTAAAATAGGTACTATAATTATCTGCATTTTATAGATGAGGAAACAGTCTCAGACAAGTTGGCTGTCCAAATCCATAGCCTGTGAGCAAGCTGGGACTTCACTCCAGGCAGTCTTGATTGTAACTAGATAAGAAAAAAAAGTAGCCTGACAGCTGTCAGCTGGCAACTGATTTGGCAGTAGACAGACAGTGGTGCTCTCCTGCTTAAAATAAGCAATTTCACAGAACACCAACTTCAGTCAAGGTCATCTGTGGCTGAGCCAAAAACAAGACAACTCTAATCACATCTAAGCACACAAAAAATCAAGAACATTTTGCAAACCACGATTAGTTTTTCAGCTGCACTTGGAAAATCACTTCTATTTATTAACCATTGAATCAAGTACTTGTGTAGTTATTAAATGTAAGCATTAAATCTTTTATTTAAAAAAATTCATAGATTTATTTATTTATCCTTACCCATAGACATTTTCCCATATTTTGTTCAGATAGAGTGGGAGGGGGAGAGAGAGAGAATCATCGACGTGAAAGGGACACATCGAGTGGCTGCCACCCGCATGACCCAACCAGGGCCGGGAACAAACTGCAACCGAGTTACATGCCCTTAGAGGGAACCGAACCCAATCTCTCTGGACCGCAGGCCGACGTTCTAACCGCTGAGCCAAACCAGCCAGGGCTAGATTTATTTATTTTTTTAATGATTAGGTAATATTAGACAAAAAGCATTCTTAAAGCAAAATATGTTGAAATATTCAATATAATTTCTGTCAAAATTATGTTTATGTACTATGAATAATCATCTTAAGTCACAAAATGTGACTTGTGAATAAAACACTCAGGCTATGTCACAAGCTTTTATTCACCATCCATATGTCAGGCATTAGTGTAGGTACTAAGAATACGAAAATAAATAAGGCATGAGCATTTGCCTTCAAGAAACTCACAGACTAATAAGGGAGACAGATAAACACATTTATTTATTTTTTTGTTAATCCTAACCTGAGGATATTTTTCCATTAATTCTTAAATAGAGGAGAAGCGAGGGAAACATTGATGTACATCAATTGGTTGCCTCCTGCATGACCCCAACTGGGCTGGAGATCGAACCTGCAACCCATGTATGTGCCCTTGACTGGGAATTGAACCCACACCCTTTGGTCCCCAGGCTGACGCTCTAACGGTACAGCCAAACTGGCCAGGGGTAGACAAACACTTTTAAAGTGAATAAAAGAGCTCAGTGGATTGAGCATGGACTGAGGTTCTGGTTCTATTCCCAGTCAGGGCACATGCCCAGGTTGAAGGTTCGATCCCCAGTATGGGGCATGCAGGAGCCAGCCAATCGATTGATGTTTCTATCTCTCCCTCTCTCTAAAAGATAAATAAATAAAGTGAATAAAAGTATTCTTACAATAGATCAATGGAAGCAATAGTACAAACTGGTCTAGAGGAATCAGAATATTTCAGTTTTTGATAGTATTTGATTGAAATTCTGAAAGATTACTTGTTCTGTAGGAGGGAAAGAAAAGCTTTTTAAATAAAGAAAATAGCCTGATGGGAAGAGATTAACCAAAGAACGTATATGCATATATGCATAACCCATGGACACAGATAATAGTTCAGTGAAGGGGGGGATGGGGGGGTGGGGGCCCGAGGGTGTCAATGTGGGAAAAAACAGAGGACATCTGTAATACTTTCAACAATAAAGATAAATTAATATATATATATATATATATATATATTCCACCTAAAAATAAATAACATGTGAAGAGTTCAGGAGATAAAATGACATTTAGATTAGTTAACTTTTTTATTCTTTTATCCTTTCTCCTCACTTGTTCTCCTTCTTCTCCCTAAACAATAGTTAAAAATTCAGATATCAACCCATACTAGTTTTACCCATCTGCTTGTGGGATAAAAAGAAAAGACCCTGTATCAAGGTACAAAGCCTTGAAAAAGTCTAGTGGATTTAAGAGATGGCTAGAAGTTTGGTGTGACTAAAGTTTGGAAGGGCAGTGTGCAACAGAACAGGAGTTGAGAAAAATGAATTGGGTGAGGTTATGCAGTCTGGGTGATGCAAGGCTTTATATGCTCATCTAAGGAGGGCATATCTGTCAGGGCACTTTACCCAAAACACCTGAAGGCAAGATTTTTTAAAAAAATGAATGAAAAAATTAAGGCTGAGCCCTGGCCGGTTTGGCTCAGCGGTTAAAGCGTTGGCCTGTGTTCCAGAGAGACCCCGGTTCGGTTCCCGCTGAGGGCACGTACCTCAGTTGTAGTTTGTCCCCGGCCCTGGTTGGGTCACGTGGGTGGCAACCACTTGATGTGTTCCTTTCACATCGATGTTTCTCTCTCTCTCTCCCTCTCTCCCACTCTATCTGAACAAAAAAAAAAAAGGAAAAATGTCCTCGGGTAAGGAATAAGAAAAAAAAAAATTAAGGCTGAGAGTGGCTAACTGAATACAGTAAGCCCTCTCCCCATGTCCATGGGATCCTTATTCTTGGATTCAGTCAACCAAAGATACTTGGAAAAAAAAAAAGTTTGAAAAAAATATTGCATTGTTACTGATGTGTACTACGTAGCCAACTACACCTGATGGTTGCATCTGTAGTGACATGTACAGACGTTTTTTTCCTTGTCATTATTCTCTAAGCAATACAGTATAACAACAGCTTACATTATTTTAGTTATTATGAGCACTAATGAGATTATTTAAACTATATAGGAGGATGTGTATAGGTACTATGCCATTTTATACAAGAGATTTGAGTGCCTGTGAATTTTGGTATCTGCAGGAGTTCCTGTAACCAATCCCCTACAGATACCTAGGGACAACTGTATGTATTTAGAATGACTAACTGAATATGTATTTTTTAAGTGATAAATAATGGCTATGTTATATGTAACGTGATATACATGTGTTCAATGTATATTAGCCAGATCAATGCTATACTCATATTTAGTTTTGAATTGGTAAAGGAAGTTTTCATCTTTTTCTCTTTCACAAATTATTTTTAACCTGAAGTAAATTATTCTAGAAAAGAAAATATTCTTTATACCTTTGCAAAGGAGACCCTATTATAATTGTAAAATGGATCATATCTGAATTCAAATGGATTAAAATTTTCTTTATTGGAGCATAGACCAGAGAGCTTAATTGTTTATTGTCTGTCTTTCCGCACTAGATTGAATTTAATGAGGATTCTGTTTTGTTCACTGCCCTATCCTCTGCATTTGGAGCAACGCATGGCAAACAGTAGGTGATCAGTTAATATTTGTTGAATGAATGAATGAACAATCTCTAGTCTCTTCCAATCCTTCAATTGTGTGACTTATTAAAGTAAGAAATTAATATATCTTAGATATCCACAGTGGAAATTTACCTCAAAATCAGAAAGTAACTAACATGTGAATCCTAGTTATTGTTTCCCTCACTAGAAACCAGTGGTATTGACTATGTTCAGAAAAGCCAAGCATGTGTCAGTACTTTTCTAATAAAAATATATTGTTTTTAAAAACTGTTTGTGTAGCCACTGGAGGGAGCTCATGCTTTTCTTTTTAACAAGAAAATTACATCATTTTACAAAAAGACCACAGACAAACTCCGCAGGAAAAGTGTACCAGAAGAAATTTTTGTTCTTTTCAAGACTAGTTTAATTTCTTATTGTTCCACCCTCAACCCCGCCACCCCCACAACACCACCTCTCTTTCCAGCTTCCTGTGAGTTTTGCCCACTATTCCATCTATCCTTTCCTCTTTGTGGATAGTGAGAACTATTGAGTCTGCCTTTGGATAAATCTGTCACCCCCAAGCTCACTAGGACGTTCCACTATCTTTCTCTGATTATTATCTTCTCTAAAATCATCATAGCCAAGTTTTTAAAGTCAGAATGTTTCCCAAGAACCATTTAATGGTTTTATTTCCTATATCTTTACACTTAAAACCTCAAAGCGTGATAACATTTAGTTGGCTTTGAAAGATCTTTAATAGTTTTGTGAACAGAGAGGAGGTAACTAGATCCTTTGGTGATAGA